TGTTTCTCTTAAAATGATGTATCCATGGCAAGGAGCTAATCAACAACAATTGGTTCAATCACCGGTTATGATTAATGAAACATCATCATCATCATCATCAGTTACCAATCAATTGGTTAATTCAAATGATTCTCAATTAAATCACCATCATTCGTATACAAGTAATAATAATAATAACAATCATGTTAACCAAGGACAACAAAATTCAAACAATTATTTTTACAATAATCTTTCATCATCTTCATGTTCATCATCATCTTCTCAACAACAACAACAATATCAATTACCTCAGAATCTTCGAGTATCTTCTGGTTCCGTGGTAGATGATGATGGTGGAAATTTGGTTAATTTAAACGATTATGATTCTCAAGAGAAGGAAACAATTATTGATCAATTGATATTTAATCTAAATGGTAAATTAACATTGAACAACAATGCCGATACTTATGAATGTCATTCATTGTGTAAAGAAAGGCGACTTTCCCCTTATTCAACCACTGGTCATACCTCCGATTGTACCAATTATCATCTTTTAAATTCAACGGAAACCAATCTAACCTCTAATACCGATGATCCTGCTTATCGTTTAATGCAACAATTAATTAAAGAAGGTGCTCTAATCAAGGAAGCCGTTCGAAGATTACAATTCACCAAAAGTGAATCACCAATTACTCTTTGATGACCAAATACAAACACACACATAATATCATCCATTTAGACAAATAATTCCAGAGTGACGATAAATGATGAATAACATGTAGATCGCCCGGGTCACTCTTCTTCCCCCAACCAATTCCCATTCTCTATTCTCTTCCAATGTGTGTCTACCCTCTCTTTCTCTCTCTCTCTCCATCTTTCCCACCTTCTACCTCCATCATCTTCATTGAGATTTTGTTTTTTTCTTTCTGTTGTCATTAACTAATTAACTTCATCCCAATGATTATTCCTCAATCTCTCTCTCTCTCTCTCTCTCTCTCTCTCTCACCAACACCATCTACATTTAGATGGTCAATCCTACCAAAACAAATCAGTATAAAAGTCAAACGATATTAGTCCAATGTTTTCATCCATTTTCACCCCTTCTCTTCCTATTTTCTTCTTCATCATCATCATTATTTCATCTTAACCTGATTTGATTATCAATTATCACCGATCCAAATCTCTTAAAGCGTAGACAACAATCAATCAAGATACAAACACACACACACACACACAAATATAAACACTAATAAGGAGGAGATAAAATAAAACCAAGCAAAGGAAGAGCCAAGTCAATCTTATACTCACACTCACACACATTTTGTAAACAATTGAGGAAAGGAAAAAGTGGATTAACAAGACAATAACAACAACAATTAACAATCAAACTAAATTATAACAACAACAACAACAACAACAACAATAACAAACCAAACAGTAACTTAATCCAAAGTTATGGATTAAGAAACAATAAGCCAACCTGAAAGAGATGACAATTTAATTGATTACTCTTTTTACCTGAAAATCCCTTATGATTATTTGATGACCATGTTAATTAATTTACTCTCTGTTTAATTTAGTTTCCTTTTCTCATTCACCCTTAATTATATTTCAGTTTCAAATCAATTGTTTGAAACATTTTCCTTTTCTCAATTATTATCTATTCCTGAAAAAAAAACAAACCATGAAACCAATTAAGTCTCCATCCTGGTTTAATTATTATTATCAACATTATTATAATTATCATTGTCAAATTATAATTAACAACATTATTTGTCAACATTGAATTGTAATTACAATTAAACGGTTGATTTAATTGTTACCATTCAATGTATTACCTTCACTCTCACTTTCTCAATCCATTTAAAGGTAATTTAAATTTGATATAAGATGATTAATCTCTTATTATTATTATTATTATTACTATTATATAAATACATAGACTAATTAATCAATTATCTGATGATGATAATGTTTTTCACTAATTAACTTAAATTGTACAATTTAAAAATCTTTTGATGGTTTATGATTTTGAACAGAGCAAAAAACAAAAGCTAAATTGATTTTCAATTGTTATAACGTTTATTTATGGAAAACATTAAATGATTAATACAATAAAGGTGAAATGATTAATAAATACATTGTAACCATTTAACTAATTGTTATCCAATATTTCAATCCAATTGAGTTGAAAATAGTCAATATTTAACCGTGACAATTAATTATCAACAAGTTTAGGTGATAACAAGTAACCTTCAAGTCTTAAGGTAAAAACTTTGTTGGTACTTTTTGTTATTCTCGTTAATTGTAACAATTAATTGTATGAAAGGGAAGAAAAAGTTTTCATTATAATTAAATCTAGAACAAGATTTAATCTCTATTCTATCCAGTTAATTGATGGAAAAGGTAATAATGTTATCTAATTGTAAAAGAAATTAAGTTAATCTGATATGTTCACCTTTCCTTTGAGAAAAGAAAACATTAACTTTTGAAAACGAGTTTTTTTCCCAAATCTCCTTAAAATAGGAACCAAAAGCCTAACCCAAACAATAACAACAATCAACAATCAACAATCAGCAAGTTAATCAAATGAATCCACCAACGTTATTGTGTTAATCATCTTCACGATCAATTGATGATCATTTTTTTCCCATCGATCCAATGAAATGAACGATTCCAGGTAGACAGATATTGAAATTTATTTAATTATTTCAACACTAGAGATTTGAAAAAAAAATGATATAAATTATAATCATGATTAGATTATCGGTTAATTGATTTGAATAGGAATAAATTGAATTGATTGATTGATTGTCTGGTTTGTTTTGATTTCGCGGTAAACTGCTAATATATTTTTTCTCAATCGTTATTGAATGTTTTCTGATGGCTTTTGAAAGCTTCTTTGTTACTTTAATTGTGGATTTAAGTGATTAACCCTTCCAACAATTTGCGAAACTGATGAAATTTTCAATTCAACTTTTATAATAGAAAATAATTACCATGATTACAACATGATAAGTCTCAAGGTTTTCTTACTAATCATCATTCTGATTCTTTTGGAACAACTTTCATTCAGATTAAATCACATTGACGTCTAATTGTAAATGTTCAGTATGAGTCCATCCTGGTGGAAAGTGATGATGATGATGATGGCGGTGGTGGTGGTGGTGGTGGGATAAGAATGGGAGGATAACCAGAAAGCTTGAGACAAAAGACATGGCCCACCAACCGAAAAACTTTCATCTATCAGAGTTTTGTTTTCGTTTTAAATATATTCCTAAAGGGCTTTAACCTTTAAAAAGTTTTCCATCTCCTCCTTTATTCATCATCTTCTTTTATCATCATCATCGTTTTTCTCTCTCTCTCTTTCTCTTTCTCTTTCTTCATCTTTTCTTTCCCACCTACCATGTAAAACACACTGTAGATACCAGAAAACTGGTTCATCTTCAACCTTTTTTTGGTTTATCTTCTTTCTCGCTTTATCTTCATCTCTCTTTCTCTCTTTTCTTGGATAATATTTACGATAATACAGAAAAAAATATAATAATAATGATGAAAGAAAATAACTTATCTTTGATTGTCAGTAAATAGAGATAATCAAGAAAAAGATTTAAAACATTTTAACATGAAATTGTTAGTAAATTAAATGGCGAGTAAATTGTTTACCTTTTTGTTATTATTTTCTTTTCTTGTGAGTTCATCTTTCCCCTGAAAAAAAAAAACACTGATGAATGAACAACTTCCAAGTTTATTCTGTCTACATGTTCATGGAATAGATGAAAATTAGTCTTCTTCTCATAAGAAAATACGATTCGTGTTTACATATTAGTCTCTTTACCTTTACCTTTCCATTTTCTTTTCCTTCTCTCATCTAATTTAACATTGAGACAATTTAGTCTCTTCAATAAAGTTAGAATAAAATCTCAACAATTAACCTAATCGACAAGCAATCGAAAGGTTTTCTAATTTCCAATCGATTTGATATCTTTTAACAAACTCTCTTATTAATCCTTCAACTATTCAAGTAAATTAACTATTCCAATTGAGGTAATTTCTTTTCTATCATATTAATACAATTGTTGTTCAAATATGATAATAATGATTAACCTTTATTGGGGAATTAGAAAACACTGGCGCCATCTCTTACCTAATTAACTCACTATTTCCACTGTTGATTAGAAAATGTCACCCAAAGTTGATTAATTTCCGGGTGATTGTAATTTCAATTGATGTTGTTTTATCTGCTGTTTTTCATTTACTTTTTAAGAGCTTAAATTCAATTGTTATCATTTAAATTGATCAACTAACTAATCAAGGAATGAGATGATCAGAATGAAGTTAAATTGTCACCAGGTGACGCTTAATGATCAGTGAATTTAAATTAATTGTTGTTGGACTGATTCAAGTGTGTGACCTAATTAACAGAATTAATAAATCAAATAAATTGATCACCAAGAGATCACCTTGATGATAAACGATTAACAAATTTAGATCATCTATTAATCTAACAGTCAACTAATTTGTAAATTATTATACAAAACTAATTATTATTATATTTAAATGATCATAATTATAGAGATGAAAATAATTAATAAACTGATCAATTAACTGAAAAATTTATGAAACTACGACAACAATCAATAAACAATTCTACCCACCAATTAATATGAAATTTTTCGTTACGTATACCAATTGTAACCAATAGGTTGTCGAAATCAAATTGCGAAAGAAAATTAAAAAAAAACCATTTTATTGGCTAATCAATTGAGTGATTGGCTGATAAAACGATGATTTACCGTTAGGCTCATCATAAACGCGAATTTGAATCAATCAGAATAAAAGTCAACAGATAACTTTGTTTTCTTTTGTTTTTTTCGTTCAATCTATTGTTGGGTGTATATGGAACATGATGATCATGCTCATAGTATTTTCTTCATAGATTCTCATTGAGTTTTCTGGTGAAATTAATGAAATTCACCCGGTAACATCCTATAAGCTTCGTGTTAAGGTCAGTTGAACAGTTGAACAGTTTAACTCATCTCAACTCTTCTCATTTTCATTTATTGTTATCACGAAACAATAACATCTCATATTAACTAATTGTTGCGTCGAATTTTCATCTTTACCAAGTTCATTCTCTCTCTTTCTCTCTCTAACTAACTCGCTCACTCCTTGTCTCTGTCGTTATCATTTCATCATATTCATCATCATCATCATCATCGTCGACATCATCATATTCCCAATCATCGTAATCATCACCATCACAATCATCATAATCTCAATAACCTTTCATCTTTTTAGTCAATAATTTATTTGATTAGATTGAGAATCACCAATAAAATTGATTTGATTGTGAATAATTCAACAAATAATTGCAACAATTTACTGTTAAATTGTTATTCTTTTCTGTGTTCATTCAATCATCTAATTACTAGTTGAACCTTTTTTTTTGTTTTCTGCTTAATGGATTATTATTGATACTTTTTGATCAAAGTGACAATCATCAAGTTTACAGTTTACTACAATTGATTCAAATTAGACTAAAAAACTTTCATTCCAATTAAATCAAAATCATCATCATGTTACTTTGGATTCGAATTATTTTATTTCTTATTCTCACATTTTCGACTAAATTTTCTTATGGACAAACTAAAAGAGATTATGAAGACCAATCAGTAAGTAATTCTAATTGATTGATAAATTGACTCAATCAACTAATTAAGTTTAATGGTCAACTAATTAATTGACTAATCGACTAATTGATTATTGGATTGATTCTATTCAGAGAAATACAAAAAAAGTATCAAATTGTTGACATGTGAAATAATCATTCAGTTAAAATCAATTAAATCACAATGAAATTAGAGATGAACCAAAACTAAATTAATCAGCAACAAGTGAAATAATTTAATCAAATAAACGTGAAGATAATTAGTTAATTATCATCAATCAAGTGAAATCTCTTGATAAATAATCAAATAGGAGGAAAACATACAATTAATGGTCAACAATAATAATCCTCAAAAGGTTAAAATCTTTCAGTTGATTAACAATTTGATTAATAATTAATACAAATATAAAAGTCGAAGTGACAAGGTGATGATGATAAAGATGATGATCAAATTGATTAAGATTATTAAGAGAGATAAAAGATGAAAGATGAAGAAAAGAGAAAGAGAAAAATGATGATAATAAATAAGGTAAATGCTCTTAAATGTCGTTTATAATTTTATCAATTTCATTCATGGAAAACTGTTCATTCATTTCTCATCATGTCGATAATTGAGATAACATTGGAATTAGAAATCTTGTTAACAAAAGAAAAACTATTTACCTGTAAAAGGGAAACGATTCGAATTACATGTTTTAGTCTTAATGGAAAACGTTCAGAGAGCGAAAAGTTCTATTCAAAGTTCTATCAACTTTTTTTTCTTCTCTTCTCTTCATCATTATCATTACCGTTATTCTTATCAGTCTTTTTTTCTTATTCTTCGCTTTTATTTATTCCAATTCATCTTATTATCATCATTAATAAACAAGAATCTATTTCATAAAGTGAACAATTTACTGAATTTCCACTGAATCGGCACAAAAATTCAACAAATAATAGAAATAAGAACAAGAATAATATCAATTTCGAAGATATCTTATTAATCTGTAATATGAATATTTTATCCAAAAATAGTACATATAAATGTTAAATTTATCTTTAGAACGATTGATTCAATCAATCCAATGATCCAAAGTCTAATTCTAATTCTAATTCTAATTCTAATTATCTCTCTTGATTACAGAATTTACCTGAATGTTCCCATGATTATTCTGTGTGTGGTTATGTTGAACTGAACAACATGGGAATCAGTTCACAAAGTATTTGTCAATGTAAAGATTTCATCTCATGTCCTGAATCATTTGATCGTTTCGATGGACGAACTTTGTCTCATGGATTAAATCAGTATAAGGTAAATTGTTGTTAACTGTTGTTAATTATTGAAATGAAAATACTAAATGTCTTAATTATTAGGTGGAGATTATCAAGAAAAAGTGAGCAAAATTAGTCAACTAAAGATTTTTGTTTGACTTTTAATGAGGTGTGATAGATTAGTTAGTTAATCACATTCTCATTAAATGAAATTATTGTTACTATTTTAGCTAATTACTACAAACAGTAATAGTACACAGTATTCATTTTATTAACAATCAGCTGACTAATTAAAGATAATTTGCATTTCAAAAGGGTAATTAAAACACCCACGATAACAACAATCAATTCATTAATTGATTGTAAACAATTATATCTATGATTGAATTAATTGTGTTGAAACATTTTCTATTAAATCGTCAGATTAATTGGATTAGTTAAAACAATCAATTGTTTCATCGATACGATGAGATAATACAAAAGACCAACGATCAAATTCAATTAACTTTATTATTATGTTTAAATTGTATCCATTTAGATGATGATATTGATATTACATTTATAAAAATGATGAGAAATTAATACAATTTAAATTGTAATCATGATCAAGTTATTAAATTGAAAGTTCAGTATTCATGGATACTCATCATTTAACCTGAAAGAAAAATAATCATGAAAATTATTTTCCATCTAAAATAGTTGATAGAATATAAAAGATTCGTTTTCATGCTCATGAGCTTGAAAAGTTTTTCTTACCTGAAAATTATTCGATGAACTAAATGAATATTATCAAGAAGAAATTTTCTTTTCTTTATTACATCAAAATGAGAGATACTAAACTTCCGTTTCCTTTTTACATTAACCCCTTTCTCTCTCTCTCTTTTTCTCTTCTCTCTCTCTTCTATTTTCTTGTTTCCTGTTCTCTTTTGTTTCTCTTACCTGTTTTCTTCGTTCACTCATTCTAACCATACCTTTATTCTGTTCTATTCTATTCTATTAACAGTATTGCCAAGAAGCTCCTCGTTTAAAAAAATGTTCGCATGATGAAATTGTCTATAGTTCGATCATCGAGTATGATGAGAATTTCCAACTGATCAACAGTGACAATCGAATTCACTGTGAATGTCCACCAAGACATATTTTTGTACGAAATTCAACAAATACTCACACAAGGCCTAATGGAGAAACGATCATTAAAACTCTATTGAAATGTTCATTGGTAAGAACTTTTCTTCTTTTTCATTTTCTTTTTCTTTCTTTTTTCTTTCTCTTTACATTTTCGTCTTTTTCCCGAATGATCAATTTACTCAAATAAACATCGTCGAGATTTAGATTTTATTCCTGATTAGATTCAAAATGATCAATCCTCTCATTTATTTACCTTCGTCACCATTAATTACAAATCATTTCAATCAAAACAAACAAACTATTTCCTGGTCTTGGTCAACTAACTTGATACTTTTACAAGACAATGACCAGTCTAACCAGTGAAAAGTAATCAATTTAAAATAATACCTCATTTCTAGAGTTAATTAATTCCCACTACTACTATATAACTAATTAGATTAAAGCCAAATAGTTAATCAATCAATTGATTTTGTCTTGCTCATTTCTTTCGTTCTAAGCCCTTATTTGTTTGTACTTTAATAAACTCAAAGGTTAATTTAATTTAACGACAACAATCGAAGTCTAAAAACAAATCATATCATCTAATTGTTCATCTTTAATCGAATAACAATAATCAATTATATCTTTTCTCTTTTTTTCTCTCTTTTCTCCTTACCTATTAATCCTTTAATCTTTTAATCTCTTAAATCCAAGCCTAAAATCTGTAAACCTCAAGAAAACTGTATGACAATTAGTCAATCATCTCATTCGACATTTATTAAGAAATTATGTAATTGTCCAATGGATTCATTTTGTCCAACGGACACTCGATATGCCGCTGAAGTCATGGACTTTACTAAAGGATCAGCATTTTCAATGAATTGTATTTAAACAATAAACAACATTACAATTAGTATAATAACAATAATAATAATAATAATAATAATTTCATCTCAATCATATTTTAATCATCTAAAACCATCCAAATCATATCACACATCAACACCATGACCATATCACCACCAAGAAACACGATCAATATCAAATCTGCATTTATATTTGTCTTCATCAACATTTCTCAGCACTTGAAATTCATCATTTTCAACTCGAAAACTTGAATAAAATCACTTTTTCATCTGAATCATTAATATTTATTTACGATACGATACTTGAGTTCATCATCAACCCTTTTCTTTGATACCAATCTCCTCCACAGGTCAAGAGCTTATGGAACCAATCAACAGTTATCTGTCATATAATATTTTTGGTTCAATTCTAATCAAATCGGTTAACTAAATATTCACATAATTTCATCAGAGAACTGATAATAATAATAATCTTTTACAGAATAAATTTATTACTAAATTAAATAGATGTAATAATTCATAACCATCTTGACCATCACTTTACTCATTTCATTGATAATAAGCTAATAGTAAGTTTCGGAATGAGTCAAAACTAAAATGAGTCATTCAATATGAAATTCAACTTGAAATTATGAAACTTATCATGAAATAAGTTGAGCTAATCTAAGAGATTTTTTTTCAAAGTGATTGAATTAAAACAAGAGTTTGTTATCAATATTATCAATATCAATTGTGAGTCTTCAAGTTTTAATGTGAACGTGTTTACCTTAACCTTTAATGATAATAAGGTTATTGATTCTGTGTGAAAGTATCATGAAATGATAGCATAAATCAGATAATCACCAATCCAAGCAATGAGTAAAGTTATGATGATTATCATAACTAATATAACAATCACCGATAATAACAACAAGTAGATTAATAAATTGCTGCAAATATGTCATTCTCATGCTCATACTAATAATTATAATATATCACAATAGTCTTGTAATAATAATAATGCTGATAACCACATAGATTATTATCCTTTATTTATATATTATTTATATGATAATATAATAACTATTAATATAAACTGATAACATAATCAACAACAACAACAACGACAATGATAATGATAATATAATAATAAAAAAATGCTATAATAATTTTCCGGTTTTTGAATAATTAAATAGACAATGAAATAAATATAAATAAATTAAATTGCAGCAATTAGCAAATCAATTAGCTTACTTATTATAAACTGATAGTATGATAACTATAAATCACCAATACCATTGAAATGTTAGCAATTGATTGCTAAAGTTAATATTACATAGAAATTGATAGAGATAAATATAAATAATAATCATTAATTTTCAATTGAATTGTTATATTTTTGTTATTATTATAACTTATCAATAGCAAGAATCACTTTTTTTATTCTGATTGATTCAGTTTCATCTGCATGGTACTCATGGAGAAATGGAGTGAGTGAATGATGATAAATGAGCCAATCAAATTGAAGAATGTTATTCAGATAAAAATATAACAGAGAATTCAGAGTTTTCGAAATTTTGGAAAAAGAAAACAAAAGAAAACATCTAAACCTTGAATTCTCATTTATATATAAAGGATTTCATGAGAAAGCGAAAGTATCACTTTATTTTATTTATAAGAATTTCGAATATTTTAAATTTTAAAATTTCCAAACTCTGAATTCTCCTTTGTTTTTGTTCATCTAAGTAACATTACTCTACTTGATTGAATCATTTATCATCATTCACTCACTCGATTTCTTCATGAGTACCATGTATTAGATCAAACAATGAATCAGAATAAAAAATTATAACTGATTCTTGGTTATTGATTGGAAATAATAACAAATCTGATTGTAAATTAATGAGAATCGTTGATATATTTATCTTTATCAATTTCCATGTAACTTCATCAAGTATAAATTTTACAATTTAAATGATATTATGGTCTATAGTTATGATAAAATCAATTTATATTAATAATAAATAAGTTAATTAATTGATTTGACAATTGATTTATTTATTTCAGATTTTGTTCAATTATTTAAAAACCGTAAAATTATCATTATATAATATCGTAGCATTTTTTTATCACTATATCATAATAATAATCGTTGTTGTTGATTATGTTATCAGTTTATATTAATAGTTATTATATTATCATATAAATAACATATAAATAAAGGATAATAATGTGGTTATCAGCATTATTATTTTTACAAGACTATTGTAATATATTATTAGTATGAGATGAGGATGAAAATGTTATGTAAATAATGAAAATTGACATTTTTTTATCCATATATTAATCTACTTGTTGTCATTGACGGCGATTGTTATTGTTATATCAGTTGATCATTACAACTTTACTCATTGCCACGATTGATGATTACCTGATTTGCTGAATGAAATATTGAATATTCACCATGATGATGATTATATATTCATATTACCTGAGAGTATTGGAGAGAGTGAATAAAATGTCAATTGGAAATTAAATTTCTCAAACAAATAGTTTTCCAATCTTTTATTTAAAACAATAGATTTGATTGTGGGATGAGGATTAGGTGAGATGATTAAGTTTTAATTGTAAACAAGGGATAATAGTGATTATTGCAAAGATTAGAGAGGAGGATTAGTGATGATTGTCTAGGAAACGAATTTGTCAGATAGATTAGGAAAGAGATTGAATTAAATTCAATACAAATTATTGATTAAAACGAGAAACAGTTTAATTAATTTACTTTATAATATTTAACTTTTGCGTTGAAAATGATTGATTATGAGTACAGATAAATGATGGAGATGATTATGTTTATGAAGACAATTAAAAATCAAGAGAGTCGATTACTGATTTTGTCCGAAAATGACGTGGTGATGATGTGTGATTTGGATGGTTTTAGATGATTAAAATATGATTGAGATGAAATTATCAATATTATTATTATTATTATTATCGTTATTATACTAATTGTAATGTTGTTTATTGTTTAAATACAATTCATTGAAAATGCTGATCCTTTAGTAAAGTCCATGACTTCAGCGGCATATCGAGTGTCCGTTGGACAAAATGAATCCATTGGACAATTACATAATTTCTTAATAAATGTCGAATGAGATGATTGACTAATTGTCATACAGTTTTCTTGAGGTTTACAGATTTTAGGCTTGGATTTAAGAGATTAAAAGATTAAAGGATTAATAGGTAAGGAGAAAAGAGAGAAAAAAAGAGAAAAGATATAATTGATTATTGTTATTCGATTAAAGATGAACAATTAGATGATATGATTTGTTTTTAGACTTCGATTGTTGTCGTTAAATTAAATTAACCTTTGAGTTTATTAAAGTACAAACAAATAAGGGCTTAGAACGAAAGAAATGAGCAAGACAAAATCAATTGATTGATTAACTATTTGGCTTTAATCTAATTAGTTATATAGTAGTAGTGGGAATTAATTAACTCTAGAAATGAGGTATTATTTTAAATTGATTACTTTTCACTGGTTAGACTGGTCATTGTCTTGTAAAAGTATCAAGTTAGTTGACCAAGACCAGGAAATAGTTTGTTTGTTTTAATTGAAATGATTTGTAATTAATGGTGACGAAGGTAAATAAATGAGAGGATTGATCATTTTGAATCTAATCAGGGATAAAATCTAAATCTCGACGATGTTTATTTGAGTAAATTGATCATTCGGGAAAAAGACGAAAATGTAAAGAGAAACAAAAAAGAAAGAAAATGAAAATGAAAAAGAAGAAAAGTTCTTACCAATGAACATTTCAATAGAGTTTTAATGATCGTTTCTCCATTAGGCCTTGTGTGAGTATTTGTTGAATTTCGTACAAAAATATGTCTTGGTGGACATTCACAGTGAATTCGATTGTCACTGTTGATCAGTTGGAAATTCTCATCATACTCGATGATCGAACTATAGACAATTTCATCATGCGAACATTTTTTTAAACGAGGAGCTTCTTGGCAATACTGTTAATAGAATAGAATAGAACAGAATAAAAGTATGGTTAGAATGAGTGAACGAAGAAAACAGGTAAGAGAAACAAAAGAGAACAGGAAACAAGAAAATAGAAAGAAAAAGAGAGAGAGAGAGAAAAGGGTTAATGTAAAAAGGAAACGGAAGTTTAGTATCTCTCATTTTGATGTAATAAAGAAAAGAAAATTGTTTCTTGATAATATTCATTTAGTTCATCGAATAATTTTCAGGTAAGAAAAACTTTTCAAGCTCATGAGCATGAAAACGAATCTTTTATATTCTATCAACTATTTTAGATGGAAAATAATTTTCATGATTATTTTTCTTTCAGGTTAAATGATGAGTATCCATGAATACTGAACTTTCAATTTAATAACTTGATCATGATTACAATTTAAATTGTATTAATTTCTCATCATTTTTATAAATGTAATATCAATATCATCATCTAAATGGATACAATTTAAACATAATAATAAAGTTAATTGAATTTGATCGTTGGTCTTTTGTATTATCTCATCGTATCGATGAAACAATTGATTGTTTTAACTAATCCAATTAATCTGACGATTTAATAGAAAATGTTTCAACACAATTAATTCAATCATAGATATAATTGTTTACAATCAATTAATGAATTGATTGTTGTTATCGTGGGTGTTTTAATTACCCTTTTGAAATGCAAATTATCTTTAATTAGTCAGCTGATTGTTAATAAAATGAATACTGTGTACTATTACTGTTTGTAGTAATTAGCTAAAATAGTAACAATAATTTCATTCAATGAGAATGTGATTAACTAACTAATCTATCACACCTCATTAAAAGTCAAACAAAAATCTTTAGTTGACTAATTTTGCTCACTTTTTCTTGATAATCTCCACCTAATATTAATAATAATTAAGACATTTAGTACTTTCTTTTCATGTATAATAATTAACAACAATTAACAACAATTTACCTTATACTGATTTAATCCATGAGACAAAGTTCGTCCATCGAAACGATCAAATGATTCAGGACATGAGATGAAATCTTTACATTGACAAATACTTTGTGAACTGATTCCCATGTTGTTCAGTTCAACATAACCACACACAGAATAATCATGGGAACATTCAGGTAAATTCTGTAATCAAGAGAGATAATTAGAATTAGAATTAGAATTAGAATTAGACTTTGGATCATTGAATCATTGGATTGATTGAATCAATCGTTCTAAAGATAAATTTAACAACATTTATCTGTACTATTTTTGGATAAAATATTCATATTACAGATTAATAAGCATCTTCGAAATTGATATTACTCTTGTTCTTATTTCTATTATTTGTTGAATTTTTGTGCCGATTCAGTGGAAATTCAGTAAATTGTTCACTTTATGAAATAGATTCTTGTTTATTAATGATAATAATAAGAAGAATAAGATGAATTGGAATAAATAAAAGCGAAGAATGAGAAAAAAAGACTAATAAGAATAACGGTAATGATAATGATGAAGAGAAGAGAAGAAAAAAAAGTTGATAGAACTTTGAATAGAACTTTTCGCTCTCTTTTTCTCTCTTTCTCTCTCTCTCTCTCTTCTTCGCTTTCTGAACGTTTTCCATTAAGACTAAAACATGTAATTCGAATCGTTTCCCTTTTACAGGTAAATAGTTTTTCTTTTGTTAACAAGATTTCTAATTCCAATGTTATTTCAATTATCGACATGATGAGAAATGAATGAACAGTTTTCCATGAATGAAATTGATAAAATTATAAACGACATTTAAGAGCATTTACCTTATTTATTATCATCATTTTTCTCTTTTTCTGCCTCTTTTCTTCATCTTTCATCTTTTATCTCTCTTAATAATCTTAATCAATTTGATCATCATCTTTATCATCATCCTCTTGTCACTTCGACTTTTATATTTGTATTAATTATTAATCAAATTGTTAATCAACTGAAAGATTTTAACCTTTTGAGGATTATTATTGTTGACCATTAATTGTATGTTTTCCTCCTATTTGATTATTTATCAAGAGATTTCACTTGATTGATGATAATTAACTAATTATCTTCACGTTGATTTGATTAAATTATTTCACTTGTTGCTGATTAATTTAGTTTTGGTTCATCTCTGATTTCATTGTGATTTAACTGATTTTAACTGAATGATTATTTCACATGTCAACAATTTGATCAATCCAATAATCAATTAGTCGATTAGTCAATTAATTAGTTGACCATTAAACTTAATTAGTTGATTGAGTCAATTTGTCAATCAATTAGAATTACTTACTGATTGGTCTTCATAATCTCTTTTAGTTTGTCCATAAGAAAATTTAGTCGAAAATGTGAGAATAAGAAATAAAATAATTCGAATCCAAAGTAACATGATGATGATTTTGATTTAATTGGAATGAAAGTTTTTTAGTCTAATTTGAATCAATTGTAGTAAACTGTAAACTTGATGATTGTCACTTTGATCAAAAAGTATCAATAATAATCCATTAAGCAGAAAACAAAAAAAAGGTTCAACTAGTAATTAGATGATTGAATGAACACAGAAAAGAATAACAATTTAACAGTAAATTGTTGCAATTATTTGTTGAATTATTCACAATCAAATCAATTTTATTGGTGATTCTCAATCGAATCAAATAAATTATTGACTAAAAAGATGAAAGGTTATTGAGATTATGATGATGGTGATGATTATGACGATTGGGAATATGATGATGTGTTTGATGTCGATGATGATGATGAATATGATGAAATGATAACGATGATGATAAAGACAGAGACAAGGAGTGAGCGAGTTAGTAAGAGAGAGAAAGAGAGAGAATGAACTTGGTAAAGATGAAAATTCGACGCAACAATTAGTTAATATGAGATGTTATTGTTTCGTGATAACAATAAATGAAAATGAGAAGAGTTGAGTTGAGTTAAACTGTTCAACTGTTCAACTGACCTTAACACGAAGTTTATAGGATGTTACCGGGTGAATTTCATTAATTTCACCAGAAAACTCAATGAGAATCTATGAAGAAAATACTATGAGCATGATCATCATGTTCCATATACACCCAACAATAGATTGAACGAAAAAAACAAAAGAAAACAAAGTTATCTGTTGACTTTTATTCTGATTGATTTAATTCATGATCATAACCATCATCATAACTGTTAAAAGTCATTTGATCAACACGATCTATGGATGTTTTAAAATTTATCATTTTCGCAAGTGAATTAATATTTACTTAAATTTCGTGTATGACAATCACCAATTCAATCCGGAATGAAGATAAATAAGATATACAGTTAATTAATAACACGAAGAAGGTTAAAAGGTTAAATTCAGATTCCAAATCCCGATGAAGATGAGTTTCGCTTCATGAGGAATAAGTTCTGAGTTGAATTCTCTGAAGATTCTCATCAAATATTTTTCTTTTTAATATTTATCTCTTTTGTTTTCTTATCATTTCTAGTTATTCTCTATTTCTTTGTTCGAAAAGTTCTAAAGTTAATGAGATCCCATGAGAATTTCATTCAATTCTCTAACCAGTTATTCCAATAACTAAATAACTTTTATTTTCTTTTCATCGAAAATCTCAATGTATCATTTTCTTTATATATCGAAAAAAATTTTCTCATTCAAGTGATGAAAAGTTCTTGTTTTTTTCTTAAATCTCAAATTCTTACCATGAGATAATATTAATATCATGTTGAGAGAGAAAGAGTTATGAAATTTTCGAAATGGTCATCAACCGATTTGATATTCTAATGCCAACTGAAATTCTCATAGATAAAGTTAATCATTGGATGATAATAATCACAATTCTCAGTTTGAACTTAATCAGATTAACGTAAAGATTTGAATTGAAATCGTTTCGTTTTTAATTTAATCAATAAACTAATTTTGTTTTTCTTTTTCATTTCGTGATTTTTTTTACTCTTACAAGATAAACAATTAAATCACGTAATTTTAATTGTAATTACAATTGGTAAATACTATTGTTTAAACAACCGATGTAAAAGACAATAGATTGTCAGTATTTGAAAACTAACAACAAATCAAATCAAACAGGTTAAACTAATTAAATCGTAAACTCTAATCAAATTATCATCAAAAGGACAAATGATGATCATCAAATCAACAAGACTACAATTAAGTATAATAATAGTAGGTTGATGACAATTTGTTAATTCAGTTTTACTTCTGCAAATTGTGGATAGTGGAAAGGGTGAAAACCCCTTGAAGGCAAACAAAACAATCAGCTGATTAATTATTAACTGCTAATATATTGATTGATAAAAATGAATTACCAATTGAGTGATTTGTTTATGTGAGATTTTTTTTTCTTATAGGATTGATTATATTTCAACATCTCACTCAGCCTTTTCAGAATTGGTGTTATCCATTATCTGAATACCTCTTATAACGGTAAAAGTGATGAAAATGGTTGAAAAAAGGTAAGGATAAAGGTTAGTGATTTATAATTGATCACTTGTATTAATATCCAGAGAGAGAGAGAGAGAGAGAGAGAGAGAGATCAATTGATCCCGAATATATAATATTTAGTTTCCCTTTGATTTTTTTTACTTTGGCTTTAATAGTTGAATAGATGGACAATTTAAGGTCAATTGATTATTGTTGTTATATACTATCAAAGGTAATTAAGCTTTTTTAATTGTTTGATTATCAGTGATTTACTATTTATACTTATATTATATGTATAATGTGTAAAAGAATCCACTTGATTACCTTGTTAAATTGTGAATGTGAGAGTTGATAAAGTTGATGATATATTCTGACGGCAGTTGATTTGAACATTTATCATTTTCCTTTTTTTTCTTTCTTTTTTTATCTTCCTGTCAAAGTATTTATCTTCTCATGAATGAGATGATAAAAGTGATGAAAGTGATTGGATATGAAGAGAGAGAGAGAGAGAGAGAGAGAGAGACGCACATTAACAAAGAAAAGCTCTAACATCAACATGGAACTTGGAAGGTTGAAGGTTGTCAAAGTTTTCGGTTACTTTTCTTCATCATTTTCTTTCTCTTTTTTCTTCATCATCTTCAACATCTCTCTCTCTCTCTCTCTCTCTCTCTCTCTCTCTCTCTACCTTTTCTTCGAAAATTCAATGTTCTATTCTAACTGTTTTCGGGCTTAATAAATATTTTACGCGTTACTCTTTCTCTCTTTATATATCAGATTTCGGTTCTAAAAGCGATTCGATGAATATACTTCTCTTCCTTTTCTTCATCCAACATTTACTTAACTATGAAAAAGAAAATGACTGAGGATGATGAAGATGATGAGGATAAAAAGAGGAAGATGATGACGATGATGATATTGATATGGAATTAGATTTAATCATTCACCAATGAACCGTGAAAAGATTAAAGTCCATTTATCATCTTGTATTTTTTTTAATAGATTTAATCACCTCGTTAATTTTTTGTTTGTTTTCATTGTTTAATCTGATTTTAATACAACCGATTAGATCAAATCGAAAAGAAGAAGAAGAAGAAAAAAATAATATTGAAAAACAAATAATAATTAGTAACCAATGGGTCGAACTCTTCCGGTTCCGGTGGCCTGTGAGGTTTGTGGTGATAAATCATATGGTAAACATTATGGTGTCTATTGTTGTGACGGTTGTAGTTGTTTCTTTAAGCGATCCATCCGCAGGTCAGCCGTTTATCGGTGCATTGGTAAGTATGAATACTGGACATCGATTTCGTTGATTGACCTGAATTTCCGTTTTTCTTAAAAAGCAGGAACATCTAATTGTATCATTGATAAGGCTCGACGAAACTGGTGCCCTTATTGCCGTCTACAGAAATGTTTCAAGTGAATATGAACAAATTTGGTGAGTATCGATGGTCAACTTGATTAAAAGTTTACCTTTTCCGATTGACCCGAAAATTGGTCACCAATTAGTTGAATATAAGATTAGTAAATGGTCAATACCTTTGGGAGTAACTTTGACCTTTAGTATTTTGCTTTCTTGTTGTTTAGCTTTTTGTTTTTCTATTGTCAAAATGTTTACCTTTACATGTTATTATTGTTGTTGAAACAATTGAGAATTAAATTGTTATCATTATTATTGTCAATCATTGGAAATTGAATGCTCACAATTAGCCGTTCAAGAGGAACGAGGTCCAAGGAAAAATAAAAAGGTCAAAAGTGGACTGACCAAAGGAGCTTCTGGAACATCGTCATCACCATTACCGATATCAACAAGTTCATCTAAAGGATCAAAGTTATTAACGAATCAACAATCATCATCATCATCAACAGATCAACAGTCATCACCTTCTCCATCAATTATATTAAATCCTCATCCTCATCATCATCATCATCATAATTATCCTTCATCTCATAATGTTCAATGTCCAATAAAACCATTGACCAAAAGTATTCTTGACTCGTGTCGATCAAGTAAATTGATCAAACCAATGGCACTTCCGTTTTCATGTTTACCTGGTTCCGGTTATCATGGTTTCTCTCTCAATAATTCATCATCATCTTCAACCTCATCTCCATCAACATCCTTACCTTTAACATTAACCGATTTAGGATTAAACAAACCATTTAATTATCGATCCAATTTAGATTGTTATCCCTTCAGGTCAACACTAATCCCGACTACGATTTCGGGTTCACCTTCACCAGCAACGGCATCAGTTGCTGCCGCTGCCGCTTGGTCACTATCAACTAAATTGTTAGCAGCTAATTATCAAATTGCTTCGTTAAGTTCACTGCTTCATCATCATCATTATCATCATTCATCATCTAATTATGATCAACAGAATCAGTCTCAACTTGGACGATATCCTTTTCTGTCACATTCAAACTCTGTTTATCCAGGATTATCTAATTATCCTTTACCTTCATCATCTTCATCAACTGTTAATCCATTGTCAAATAGACAATCATTAGAAACTGGATTAACATATCCTTATTTTGATTCCAATTTAAATCTCTAACTAATCAACTTTTAATCACCTAAAGTTACAAATTAAGCTTCATTTTTATTTTCAAACAATCAAAATCAATACAATAATAAATTGTTTTCAAATCAAACAATCAAAATATTCATTTTTTTTAATATAATCTTACAATTTAATCCAATTGTTGTGAGTTAATCACGTTTAGAACCTTGTCTTAATTGTGAACGGGAGTGATAATAGTGAATTGAAAATGAACTTTTTAATAGTAAATTTGATTGAAAGTACAATTGTAATAGTTAATTGTTGATGATGGTAAGTAGCGAGTTATTGATTAGTTGGTTGATTTAGTTATTATCCATTTAAATGGTTAGCAGATTAAATTGTTTGATTGATTATTTTGGTTTTTTGGGAGGATTTTGATCGTAATAATCTTCTTCGGAGTTTTTTCTGCCTGAATGTTTCTCACAGTCGAGAAGAAGCGATTTGAGGCCATGAAAAGCGGGCAGCGCTTTGCCCGAAGAACCATCGGGATTAACATCGGTACAGGTTTTGTTGGGTTCGCACCGAGGCTCAAATTTAACCGATTCAACGGCGTAAACTTTTGGACTCCAGGGACGGTTGGGAATCGGTGAAATTGATTGGTAGGGAGGAGGCGAAGGCACTGATTTCACTTTGGGTGAGGCTGGTGCTTGTTTAATGATCGCTCGAGGTGAGACCGGAGCTAAAAGTGTCTTTTTACCTGGAAAACGGGCAAATGCTGAATAAGGGTCAGGGGGCGAATCCATGTTACCAGTCATGGGTCTCGATTGACCTTCGGGTAAAAAAGCACCAGAAGTTCCGGAATTAGTCCGATCAACACTTTTCTTTTTCTTCTTTGGTCCCATTACGAATGTTAATTAGCTAATTAACTTGCAATTTATTCATAATTGACACAATTTAATTCATTTACATGAAAAAAGAAAAAAAAACTTTTTTTATTCACTAATGAAAATTTTACAATCTCTTAATTTGCTTGTTGTTAGTTAAACAAATTTCATTTTTATGATTAATTTTTTGTTTGGATGGTTTAATAATCATTAAAGGGATAGGACACAATTAATCAATGTTTGTTTAAACAACTAAATCAAATTCAAGGATATCTAAATTGAAAAATAAAATTACTTTTTTCTTATGTTGATTAAATGTCTTAATCAATTTGCTAAATTTGCTTTGTTTTTAAACCAGTAATCATTTCATGAGGGAAATAAAGGTTTAATTGAAACATAAAAATCTAAACTAATTGTTAACTGTTATTAAACATTTATATATGATTTGATTTAGATTTTGTTTTTCTTTAACACAAAAATTAATGGATAGGGTTTGAAGGTGTGCTGTGGCTCTTTGTAGGTTAATATGATTTAACAGTGATTACTGTTTAGTTTGTTTTCGTAATGAATACAAAGAGAAACAATTTAAATGACTCTCATATTTAAATGATGATTACAAGTTTGAATAGTTAATTAAAGCTAATCTATATTGAGTGTAGTAATTTTTTTTTTCTCTTCTTTTGATGGATTGGGGGGAAGTCGCGATTGATTGAGAGGAAATTTGTGATAATGACCAAATGTAAATGGTATTGAAAATTTTGTCAAAATTAATGTAAATCAAAACTAATTTTGTTTCTCCTTCTCCTTTTGTGAATCCTCTGACTGTGTCTTTTCATCCTGTGTATCTGATGATGATGATGATGAAGATGATGATGATTCCCGCTCAGCAGCCATCTATAAATTGGAAAATTTAGAGAACAACAAAAAAAAACAATTAAAAATCAAACAGGTAAGTTGATTCTTTGGGAAGAGAAAGTGTAATTTTCGAGTGATTAACTTACCTTTTTGTAAGCCATCTCGAACAATTTAAGTGATGCTTGTTGTAAATCATTTGTTGCTGCTTTAATATTTTCCGCTGTTGTTGATTCTTCGTCTTTTTTAGCTAATACCTCTCGAGTTGCATCGATCTTTAATTTTAATTTTTCGCATTCTTCAGCGGGAAGTTGAGCTTTAAACTCTTCCATCTTTGTCTCGGTATCGTGAATAATACCTTCGGCTTGATTAACTGCTTCGATAACTTCTTTGTTCTTCTTGTCTTGTTCAGCGTATTTTTCTGCTTCACGAATCATATTTTCAACTTCATCTTTACTTAAACCACCGGATGATTGAATGACTATTTGTTGTTCTTTACCAGTTCCCTTGTCTCGAGCGGAAACATGGACAATACCGTTTGCATCGATATCAAAAGTAACTTCAATTTGAGGTACACCTCTGGGTGCAGGTGGAATACCGACTAAAGTAAATTGGCCCAAAATTTTGTTCGCTGCGGCCATTTCACGTTCTCCTTGGAAAACTTTAATTTCAACTTGAGTTTGACCATCGGCAGCGGTTGAGAAAACTTGACTCTTTTTGGTAGGAATAGTTGTATTTCTATTGATTAATTTGGTGAATACTCCACCTAATGTTTCAATACCAAGTGATAAAGGAGTTACATCTAATAAAAGTACTTCCGTCACGTTACCAGACAAAACACCTCCTTGAATAGCAGCACCAACTGCTACAGCTTCATCGGGATTAACTGATTTACTTGGTTGACGACCAAATATTTCTTGTACAGTTTCCTGGACCTTTGGCATTCGTGTCATACCACCAACAAGAATTACTTCCCCAATTTCGGAGGTTTTTACTTCGGCGTCTTTAACTGCCTTTTACATGGTTCAATTGTCCTTTTGATAAGATCGGCAACTAGCGATTCAAATTTGGCCCGTGTTAATTTAAGGTTCATGTGTTTAGGTCCACTTGCATCCATGGTTAAGTAAGGAAGGTTAATATCGGTTTGCATTGATGAAGATAATTCAATTTTCGCCTTCTCAGCTGCTTCCTTTAACCTTTGCATGGCCATAATATCCTTTGTCAGATCTATTCCTTGTTCACGTTTAAATTCACCTACTAAATAATTTACTAGACCATTATCAAAATCTTCACCACCAAGGAAAGTATCACCATTGGTAGATTTAACCTCGAAAACACCTTTTTGAATTTCTAAAATTGATACATCAAAAGTACCACCACCAAGATCGTAAACAGCGATAACCTTATCATCTACTTTATCTAAACCGTATGCAAGAGCAGCAGCGGTGGGTTCATTGATAACTCGAAGCACGTTAAGACCTGCAATTTGACCTGCATCTTTGGTTGCCTGTCTTTGGGAATCATTGAAATAGGCTGGAACTGTAATTACGGCATTTTTAACACTGTGATTGAGATAACCTTCAGCAGTCTCCTTCATTTTCATCAAGATAAAAGCACCAACTTGACTTGGACTATACAATTTTCCATGTGCTTCAACCCAAGCATCACCATTTGAGGCTCGAACAATTTTATAAGAAACAACTTTCTTATCTTTTTGAACTTCAGCATCGTCAAATTTACGACCAATTAAACGTTTGGTGGCATAAAATGTATTAGCAGCATTGGTTACAGCCTGACGACGAGCAGGCATTCCTACTAATCTTTCACCATCAGCTGTGAAAGCGACAACCGATGGAGTTGTCCTCGAACCCTCTAAAGATTAAACAAACAGAAGAAAAAAATATATATACATTGAACAAGGAAAATAAATAAATTCCCATCGAATATTCTAGAAGAGAATATTTTCCTATTACCCCTCCCCCCTTTAAACTGAAACATGCTTCCTAAGATGAATCAAGTAACCATGATTGTCAATCAATCGACTAAATTAACTGACCTGAATTTTCAATAACTCGAGGTGTTTTTCCTTCCATAACAGCGACACAAGAATTGGTTGTACCCAAATCCACACCAATGACAGTTCCGGTAACCTTTCCATCAGAAGCATTTCGATGACCAACCACACTAATCCGGTTACCAGTCTAAATTTAAACCAAAGACCAAAGATAAAAAGTACAAAGAGCAGAAAAAGAAAAAGACCAATCATGAAAACAACAATTAAATCAAACAGAGAAAAAAAAACAAATCACAATTGAAAAAAACAAAGAAGACAAAAGAAATTAAAAAGACCAAATTAAAAGACATTACCTTGAGAAGGAGATTCTTGCGAACAAGTGAATTTAAAGCAGCTGACCTTAGATTAATCAACATTTTGTAGAAATTATACAATACAACCAATCAGTTATTAATAAATTAATAAGAAAACAAATGAAATAATTAAATGCAATTAACTAGAAAGAGACAATTAATTTAATCGGTTAAGTAAGATGAACAGAAAATTTCATCAGAAAGAAACAAAATATTGAAATCACGTGACATTGAACAAGCACATGGAAGGAACAGGAAACGAGGTAACCGGTTCCATCTAACGGTCCACCGATCAACTAATCGACTTGATCGTTTTTCAGATTTAATTACATCAACCTGTTAATCGGTGAATTTTTGATTAAATCAATGGGGATGAGTAATTAACAATTTGGGGAGAAAATAAAAATTAGTGTATAAAGTGTACAATCAATAGATGATATGAGAATAATTGTTTCTTGTTGTATAACTTTTTCAATTTCAATGATGAGATATAAATTGTTGAAATTGATGAGAAATTGATTATGGCAAAAGTTTATGATTGTTGTAAATAAGTGATTATTTTAGATGAGAAAATTTGGCAATTTAGAGCAATTTTTGGGCTTTGGCTTCGGCAAGATTCCAAGTCCATGAAATGATAATCAGCTCAGAGTTAATACTATTAGATGATATTCAGGCCATTTAACATAATGAATGATTGATGTGTGATTTGGGTAAATAAACATAATTTAACTCTCCCATTTGATTATGTAATTTGTACCGAGGGAGAAAACAATAAATGTAAATGTATAAACTTGTTTTTCCAAACAAGACAAAGGTCAATATGGTGAAAAGTTTAACCGGTCAAAAGGGGTTAAAAGATAAACTGGACAGTAGTTGAAAATGGTAACACTTCAATAAATCAAACTGTAGATTGTTAAATATGTGACCATTTACGCGATAATCACAATTGATTAGCTTTTTGGATACAATGTTGATCATTTCGCCTTATATTGTTTTCCATATATTCAATGACCAATTGTGGACATTTCTTTTCGGCAACAGAACCAGGAATCATTCCTTGTTGAGTCTCATTTTTCCTATAATAAAAACAGTAAACAAAAGAGAGAAAGAGAAAAACAAAAACAAAAAGAAAAGCAAAAGCAAAAAAAATAGAAAATGAATCAATGTAATAAAAAGGATTGAAAGCAAGACAAATAAAAGATTATTGATTAAAAATGGATTATTGGTTATATAATTGTTAACTTACCATTTAACAAAATAGATAATCTCATTTCCAATTTTAGTTACACCGGTAATGGCTTCGGCCTTTAGGCCTTTATCAAATCCAGTTGGTTCTCCAGGAGCAAATAGAGGCCTAACTTTAGGTTCATGTCTGGATCTCTCTTCAGCAGCCAACTGTCTCCTTTGTTTTTCTTCAAATCTGTCAATTAATTCGGGACAATCGACATCTTCCTTTTTAGCCCAAGAATTAGCCGAAGATGACCAACCGGACCACTTCAAAAGATATTCTATTTTACCTGTTTTAGTAACTCTTTTATCAATAATCTTTTCAACCTCGTAATACTCTTCCACTTCCACTGATCCAGAAGCTCCTTCTTGACTGGCTCCTTCCATTTATCTTCTTTGGTTATTTCTCTTTTTTTTCTCTCTTCTTCTTCTCACAAAATAAAGACACTCAATTATCCACCGGCTAATCCAATACACGATTATTAACCGAACAATCAACTAATTAACAATAACACCGTTGAAAGTAACTTGCAAGAGAACAGAATCAAAATGAAGACTTTAGCTTCTGCTTTTTGATGTTTCCTATTGGAGAGTAACAAGTAGACTAAACTTGAGATCTTTTCGGTTTAAGAATAAAGAGAAAAACAAAAATTTTTTCGAATTTTTTTCAATTCGATTTTGGAAAAATTCTTATTCATTTGGACTTGGAATAATTTGGAAAATTTAATTTCTAGTCAGTTAATTAATTTAACTCGGATGGAAATTTATCTGATATCAATTAGATTGAATGTCTAAAACGTGATCGACTGATTGTTGATCATTAAAGGATTAGATTGTGTTTAGAATCAAGTGATTTCTGTTAATTGAAATGCTTACAATTAGCTAATGAAATTGATTTTTTTTCTTTACAAACAATTATTGTCACAATTAAGGACTTAGAGTATTGATTGTTGATTGTTAATCCGATGATTATATGATTTATTTCTCATTCTAATTGTTATGATTAGTATTTTCCATTGACGATCAAGTTAATTATAAGACAAGAAGGTTAGTTGACTGTTTAGTTAATTATTTGAGAGTTGATTGACTTGGGAAACTTTTAATTGTAATTAGAAAAATTGTTAATTGTAACAAACAGAAAATCTTTTTTACCCTTACCATTCATTCATTGACTAGCAATCAATTAATCAGTTAATCAATAATGAGCTTATTAATTGTTGATGATCAAATTGTGTTGATAATTAAGTTAATTCCTCAATATTTATTTAATTGCTACAAGAAATTTTATCATTATGATCATTTAATGATGATATTATTAATTGTAGTGAGAAAGTGAGAGGGAGAAGATGATAATTAATTGATTGTAATTGTAATTACTTAAGAAACTTGATTCATTTAGTTATTATAATTCTTGTGGTTAAATTGATTGTCATCAATTAAAATTGTGTTGATATTTTTCAGTTTGATTCAAGTAAATTATTTAAATTGTGATTTTGATTTTGATTTCATTTATTATATCCTAATTAATGATTAATATTAATCATGAATTCACATAATATTTTTCACAACAATTTATTATTAATATTAAACAATCAAATAATCAATAAAATTAAATCAACAATAAACATCAAGTTGTTTGATTACAAAAGTTGAACTGTTATTGATATAATTAAATGCTCAATTCAATTCAATCACCTAATTGTAACAATCAACTAATCAAGACCAACAAATCAATGACCAAAGATAATCATTATCACCAAAATCAACACAATCAACATCCCAATAAACAATATCAACATAATCATAATCATAATCATAATCGTAATCGTAATTGTAATCAGAGTCTTAATCCTAATCCTAATCCGTATCATTATCATCACAATAATAAATCAGGTGAAAGTAAAAAATCATCAACAATTAGTTTAAATATTCACGATACAAATGACATTCGTTATTCACAATCAAATACACAATTACAATTAAAACGATTGTCTTTAAGTGCTTCGTTAATTGAGATCTACTTTGGGAAACATTATCGTTCACCCGATGTCCTTGTTGTCTCTGGATTTATATTGATCTTAATTGGATTAGGAGCCATTTTGATTAGTGTTTATGTTTATTTCAATGAAGATCAAGTAAGTATCATCATCGTGATTATGATCATCATTAGATATCAATAATTAACTAATTGTTTCTCAATTTCTTCTCTTCTTCTTTTCTTCTTCTTTCAATAGTTTCAAGAAATGACTTTTCTCGGTGGATCGGCAATGATGGCGATCGGATTCATTTGTTGTTCTTGTCGAATCATTTTCTTTGGTCCTCATTTGCTTAATTGTTGTCCAACAATCAAATCCTCCACAACAATTAACACTTATCACAATCAAAGAAGACCAACTAATCCTCCTTTTTTCACCGCTGCATCAACCGCGATGTCCACAGTCACTTGTATTGGTGTTAAATTCAATTCCAATCAATCAACTGAAAGGCCAATCGAATCTTCATCGAAATCAATTGATTCAAATTCAATTCATGGGAATACCAGTAGTTTAGAATCAATTGAAACAATTAAAGATGAAATTTGTGACCAACAATCAACTAATCAAATTGATCACAATCATAAACATAAACATAATCATGACATTGATCATGATCACAATTATAATCAAAACAATCAAAACAATCAAAAGATAAAAACAATTAACCCAATCATGTTACAATATATTTCCAATTTAGGAAATAAATCATCATGATTAATCAATTTCCATAAAAGTAAATTAATAATCAAAATTAAAGAAAAACAATTAGAATATTTTCTTTGATCAATTAAAAAGAATCGAAAGAAAATATCAACAACAGTTTCTAAACTTTTCTCTTCGTCATTTCATCCAATCATCTCAACTTTAATTTTCGTTTATTTTTAGAAAATTAACTGTTAATTAACTCGCAATAATTAACTTCTAATGATGAGAATCAATTGTGGAGCTTTTTTAAAGAAGGCGGTTCAGGAAATGACGACAGAGAAAAAAGAAAGAGAAACAAAAATAAAAGAAAGAAAAAAAATTCTCTTTCTGTTTGTTTCGTTTTGTTTTTCTTGTTAATTGTCAATGAAAGGAAACAAAAAGAGTTTAATTTATTAGTTTCATGATTAACATTCAATTCATTTCGTTCAATTGATTCTCTTTAATATTCTAATTCAATTCATTTTCATCTTCACTTTATTTTCTTCACAAATTCATCAGAATGGTGAGTATGTTTACCTTTTACCTTTTCTCTTCTTTTTCTCTTCTTTTTCATTCTCTCTCTTTACCTTTACTTTTGTTTCTCTATCACCGACCAAATCAATTACTTTGTTTACTACATTTTATTGTATCAGGATGTTTATGTTATTAATCTGTGATAATTATTCTCTTTTTATGTCTTTTCTCTTCCTTTCCTTTCCTTTTTTCACCCACTCTGATTTTCCATCGACATTTAGGTTAACTACAAAGAGGATCAAGTCGCTGGTAAGTTGTTTCTCTTCATGTTGACAATTCCATCAAATCAAATCAATTCATTTACATTCCATTTAATCATTTCTTTCTTCTTTCTTCTTTCTTCTTTCTTTTCTTTCTCTCTCCTCGTTCTACAATAAAAGAATATCAAGAAGCCTTCTCTCTCTTTGATAATCGAGGCGATGGAAAAATCAATGTTTCCCAATTAGGTGATGTTCTCAGAGCATTGGGTCAAAATCCAACTGAAGCCGAAGTAAAGAAATGTTGTAATCAACTAAGACCTGGTAAATTTACAATCAATCGTCTTTTTATTGACATCATTTAGATATTCTTGTAATGATAAATATTATTTTCTTTTCTCTTGCATCAGATGATAGAATTGGTTTTGATGTTTTCCTTCCGATCCTTCAAACTGTCTCCAAGAATCGATGTACCGACACAGCCGAAGATTTCATTGAAGGCTTACGACACTTCGATAAGGATGGAAGTGGTGTCATTAGTTCAGCTGAATTGCGACACTTACTTACTACTTTGGGTGAAAAACTTCTAGATGATGAAGTTGAACAACTTTTAGCTGGTCAAGAGGATTCACAGGGTAACATTCATTACGAAGAGTTTGTTAAAACCGTAATGAGTGGATAATCAAAGGATCACATGAACAATCAATGATCTAAAATCATTCCAAACGCTTATTGCTTTCCTCTAATCATAATTCATCCTAAAATATAATCTCTCCTAATCCAATCAAATAAACAGCACTCGCTTCCTCCCTTACCTATCCGGTTGTTTTCTCCAACTTGTTGCCGTTCTCAAAGTATTATAAAAATTACTTTCGCCGCAAATGCACAACTAATCAATAATAATTATTTTGATTCGACCTAATATTCTATAATTATTTCATATTTAAGTTCATTTCCACCGTGAAAATGAGAAAAACTCGAGGGTGTAACACGTCCGTTTATCGAGATTTCGTAAATTGTTCATTCAATCGAAGTACCTTGAAAAGATTTCGGGTTGTAAATCTTTGTTGACAAACCATCAAATAGCAATTTACTTTTCCATAAGTCAGGATGTAAACAAACAAACAAAAATTTCATTTGATAAAACTAATCTTTATTCTGTAACCATCGTTAAATATTTTAAGTGCCTCTGTAGGAAAAAGAGAAAAAGAAAATTAGTCCAGGTGATTAACAGTAAAGTACTAAACAGATTTTAACAATTAAGAAGATAAAGTAAATTTTTTACAACCACGAAGTCAAGTCGCAAAAAGGTAAGATCAGAAAAGCGCTAATAAATTAGATCTGAAAAGTTGAAAGTCACACATTTATGAAGAATTACCATTAACGACGATAATAAACTCATTTTTACGAAATTGGATTAAATAAAAATTTGAAAATATTGAGTAACATGAAATCTAATCAATGAAATCGTTGTTGAATTTGATGTATAAACAAGTGAAAATGTAACTACTAAAAAACGTAATACTTAAAATTATAAAACGTAACATTGAAAAACTCGAACTGAATTATCGAAAAAACTGAACAGTAGATAGCATGTCGATTGCCGATAATAATTCAATAACGGGAACCAATCATGACAAATCCTAATCAAGATTATGTGGCAGAAATACTTACACAATGATGTTGTTGATTGGAATGTGGATCAATTTCACAAAGAATCCAATGAAGCCCATGATGGCGAATCCAATAGCAGTAGCAATAGCAATTTTTTGGAACTCTGAGTAATTAACAAAGACCAAGATTATGGAAAAAGATAAAGGGACAGAAAGAGACAAAAAGAGAAAAAGAAATGTCAGAAATCATTTTTCTATTTAAAACATTTTCTAATGTTTACTACAAACCTTTTCTATCTGGTTTTGTGCATCTTTTCACTAAACGATAAGAATCCTTGGCAAATAATCGCATAGGATCCACCAGACTCTCTACACGAAAATCCATTTCCACCAAAAGAACAAATCCAATAATTTAATCACAAAATTAAAAGACAAAAGTAACAATCAATTCACCGAAATTCTCTTATTATTACAACGTCACCTTTTCTAAATAAAATCTCAAATTGATTCATTTCCTTTTTCTTCTGTTTCTCGCCATCTGTTGAATTTTCTCCTAACCCCAAATAAGAAAACATTAAATCGAAGAATTGGCGCCAAATATAAAATTCTCTTTTTTTTCTTTTTTTCTTTTTTTCGCTTTTCGTCGTCGTCTTCTCTCACTATCTTAGTTGTTTTTATTCTTTCTTCACCTTGTTCATCTTCTTTTTCTTCTTCTTCTTCTTCTTCTTCAACTTCTCTTTCTCTTTCTCTCTTTCTTTCTCATCATCATCTTCTCTCATTCTCCTGTATTCATCATCCTCCTTCTTTCACCCCACTTACCAAAACTCCTCCTCTTCTCAGTCAAATTATCCTATAAATGGAAACAATTTGTTTAAATGATTAAATTACTCGAATAAGAATTAGAATCATGATGAAAACATGGAAACCAATTCATCTAATTGATCATCACTCCATCATCAACCTTATTCAAACTCTATTTTCTTCTCTATATTTTCTCCACATTTTACTTTAAATCGTAGATGGAAAATGAAAAATGAAAAGAAATGAAATGAATTTGAAACAATTAACAAATCAGTTCGATTGTAAATCTTTTGTATTTTTATGTTTTACATGAATTCATCTTAATACTTTGAGACAATTAAATGAATTGTTGATGAATTTATGATGATAATGAGGCCACTTAAGTCCAAATGTCCAAGACAATTCGTGAATCCTTTTGTATCTCGAGCTCCGTTACATTGATGATTGTGATAAATTAATGAAAGTTCTGTAACCTGATCAATAGTAAAGAGATAGAGAAAAAGTTCAGCGTTCATTGTTGAACCATTTTTCTTCTTCCTTTTTCAATTGATTCCTTTCTTTGGCTCTTCTATTTTGGAACCAAATTTTCACTTGTCTTTTCGTTAATTCTAAATTCGGCCAATTCCGCTTTTCGATTCATTGTGATGTACTTCGATGTATGAAACTCTTTTTCCAGTTCTAACCTTTGAAAGTCAGAATAAACGACTCGATATTTATCTCGAGTTCTAGTTTTCCCTGAACATGATTGACCTGAGGTCGATGTTGCTGATTTCCACGATGTGGTAACTGATGTGGTCGAAGGAGATAAAGATGATGATGAAGATGATGATAAGGTGGTTGAAGGTGTTGACTTAATCACTTCATCAATTGAAGTCTCCCTTTTGATTAACGTTGTTGGTGTAAAGTGATAAGATGAAGAAGCTGTTGGTTCATAACGATGATGATCATGATAAAGATGATGATTAAAACCATCAAAATTTACAAATGAATGATTTTTTTGATGTGATTGTTGATGGGACAAAGAATATGAATATTGTTGTTGTCTAAAGTTACCACCGAGTGAATCAACTGATGAACAATTGTTATAATCAAAATAAGGATGATGAGGATAAGGTTGTTGGTAATGATTATATTCATAATCAACGATTGAATAATTGAAATTCTCCATCATGTATTAAGCAATTATTGAAAGAACAACAAAAGAATAAGAAGAAAACAAGATGAATGAACAAGTGAAATTTTCATACAAACTTCTAAAAACGAATTCAGAACTCGACTGAACTATTTCATCGACTGAAAAAGTTTCGATATTTTCCTCTGTCAAACCTCCTCTTCTCTCTCTCTCTCTCTCTCTCTCTCTCTCTTGGTTTCTTTAACTTACCTTTCCTTTAACTCCACCCTATTGAGAAAGAAAGAGAGACGGAAAAGTGGCCTACGGTCATTCCTTTTCGCAAAGAGGTGCAAAAAAGTCTTACGACTTTTCGACATCTCTTCATCATCGTCTCGGTCTTACAGGTAGTCTTCTTTTTCACAAAGAGGTGCTAAAAAGTCATTTCTCCTCTTCGGCTTCTCTTTTTTTTCTTAATTTCTTCCTCTCTTCACTTATTTCAACTCTTCTCATTGATGATATTTTAGTAAATGGAAACAATTATTATCACAATTAAAGATTTAGAGTTTTGATTGTTGATCCGATGATTTATTTCTCATTTCTATTGACGATAAAGTTAACTCGTGAAAAGAAAGTTAGTTGACCGTTTAGTTAATTGTTCGAAAGTTGATTGACTTGGAAATCTTTTAATTCTTTATTGATTTTAATTGTAATTAGTTGAGAAACTTGATTCATTTGGTAATTAAATTCTTTTGTTTTTAATTGTTGACAATAAATTAAACTTGTGTAACTACTTTTGAGTTTGATTCAAGTAAATGATCATTAAAATTATGATTTTGATTTCATTTATTTCATTCTGATAATCTAATAATCAACACTAAACATTAAATTGATTGATTACAAAAGTTTAACTGTTACAGTAGTTGAAATATATAAAGTCCAGGACAACCTTCATAAATCCAATTACAAAAAATCAAGGTCATTTTTTTTTTGTTAAGAACCAAGGTCATGTGAAATTGGAGTAATTATTCAAGGTTAATAATTTTGGGTATTTCCTAAATCACAACGGAAATAATTATAATTTTAGGATTTTCCAACTCATAAATTTAACATTGAGTTCTTCGTATATAAAGCTTTCTTTTTTTCAAGCCAATCATTCACAACAATGTTTAAGTTTAAGTGTACTGAGTGTAAACGAAATTTTAAAATTGAAACTAATTTCAATAAACATGTTGAAAAGTGTCAATCTGTAGTTTCTTTTGGACTCACCAATTATCAATCATTCATTCTACAAAAAAGTGCATTCAAACAGTTTTTATTATTCTTCATTCTTCAAAATATTGATTCAAAGGATCCAGAGTGTTTATTCACAGAGAAATCAAAGGATTTTGAAAGTTTATTAAAATACGTTCATGAAAATATTGGAATATTCAAGTTTCAAATATGTCTTCAGATTGAATTTGTTAAACCAGATGGAAGTGAAATCATCACATATCTTTGTTCAGCAATGAAAACAGTAATGAGGATTGAACAAATTGAAGATTTTCTACTAGAATGTAAACAGGAAATGAATGGACGAATCGATACATTTACTCATCTTGGAAGTGGTTGGATTATCGATAAAATTCTTGTAGTTGAAGTACGTATATCTAAATACATACCTTACACAGGTGGATGTTTTACACGGACTTTACCAAATTGGATTCAAAATAAAGGTGCTATAATATCTCCAAAATGTGAAAAAGATTGTTTCATGTGGTGTGTACTTATTGGTCTTCATCAACCTCAGATTCATCCAGAGCGATTGAGTCATTATAAGAAGTTCATGGACAACTACAACTTTAACAGTGTACGTGGATTAGTGAAAATAGATGAAATATCGAAATTTGAGAGAGCCAATCATATATCAATTCACGTTTATTCTCTTGACATTGACCAACATGACATAATACCATTGAAGTTGAGTGATTATCAGTTTGATATAAACTTGAAACTGTTTTATCATCGAGAGCATTATTTTTATATTAAAAACTTCGATCGTCTTCTGAATACTCGAAATTTTTCAACATATAATTGTTATAAGTGCCTTCAAAGGTTTTACTCCGAAGATAAATTGAACAAACATTTGTCATCATGTTGTTCTCAACAACGTATTGAGTTGCCTGATGAATTTCAACGGATTAGATTTACAAAATACGAAGCTTTACAAAAACAACCTTTCATTATATATGCTGATTTTGAAACCTTAGCTAAACCAATGGAGTTTGACAACAATAAAAATACATTTGAGTATCAAAACCATGTAGCAACAAGTTATGGTTTTGTTGTTGTGAATTGGAAACAAGATATCATTTTTTCTTCGTTCTATCGTGGTCAAAAAGCCATTGATAAGTTCTTCGAAGAAATTTTAACCATTCCACCATTACTTTATACGATTTATCGAGAAAATATACTTCCACTTCAAACATCTACTAACCAAGACGAGTTCATTAAAAATTCTGAAAAATGTTGGATATGTGAGAACAAATTTACTGAGGAAAGTATTCGTGTCCGTGATCACGATCATCTCACCGGTGAATTACGTGGAGCTGCTCACCAATTTTGTAATTTAGGTTTGAAGTGGAACTATAAAATACCAATTGTTTTCCATAATTTGAAGAATTTTGACGCTCATCTCTTAATACAAGGAGTAAATAATACTAATACTTTTAAAATTCAAGTTATTCCACATACAATGGAAAAATATTCAGCGATTTTCATGAACAATTTCGTTTTTATTGACTCATATGCTTTCTTAGCATCAAGTCTTGATACTCTTTCATCTAATTTGGATGATGAAATTAAGAAGAAATATCTAATTACACAATTCCCTTCAAACAAAATTAATAATCTAATGAAAAAAGGTGCATTGCCATATGAATATATTGATGATTGGTCAAAGTTTGAAGAAACATCCTTACCAAATATTGATAAGTTTTATTCGACTTTAACTGGAAAATCCATTGACCATGAATTATACAACAGATTACTATCAATATGGGATGAGTATGATTGTCGAAATCTTGGTGATTTTCAAGATATTTATCTTAAAGTTGATGTCTTACTTCTTGCTGCTGTATTTGAAACATTTCGTCAAAGTTGTAAAGAAGAATTTAGTCTTGATCCATCACATTTCTGTTCAATTCCTGGTCTATCATGGGAAGCAGCTTTAAGAAAAACTAATGTAAAGTTACATCTATTAACGGATATTGACATGGTGACCCTCGTTGAAAAAGGTATACGTGGAGGTGTGTCTTGTGTTATGTCTCACCATGTTAAAGCAAATAACAAAAACTCACCAAATCATAACCCTGATGAACCGAACTCATATATCACATATCTGGATGTAAATAATCTTTACGGATGGGCATTATCACAAAAATTACCTACACATAACTTCAAATGGGTTGATGTAGAAAGATTTGATGAAATATTAAATAGAATAATGAGTAACGATGAAGAAAAAGGTTACATATTGGAAGTAGACCTAATTTACCCCGAACATCTACATGATGAACACGATGATTATCCATTAGCCCCTGACAAGGTAAAAATAGATGAAAGCCAATTGAGCCCATATCAACATAAACAACTGGAAAATTTAATAAATAAAGGTGGAAAAAGAATACCTGGTGAAAAATTGATTCCAAATTTAATGGACAAGCGAAAGTATGTTATCCACTACAAAACTCTACGTTATTATTTATCAAAGGGTATGGAACTTAAAACGATCCATCGCATAATCGAATTCAATGAATCTGCCTGGTTAGCATCATACATCATGATGTGTACGAACAAACGACAACAAGCTAAGAATACATTTGAAAAAGACTTATACAAATTGATGGTCAATTCGTTGTATGGAAAAAGTATTGAAGATAAAAGGAAACATCAAAAAGTGAAAATTGTGTTGAATCGAAAAATGGTACAAAAATATACAAGAAATCCGTTATTCGATAATTTCATGATCCTCGATCAAGATAAAGCCATCCTAAAAGTAAGAAACAATACAGTGGTCTTAGATAAACCTATTTTTCTAGGATTTGCAGTATTGGAATATGCGAAACTCAAGATGTATCAGTTACATTACGACACATTTAAGTCATTCTATGGAAAAAATATAAAACTCGTATATACAGATACGGATTCATTCATATATCACATATTTACTGATGACTTTTACAAAGATCTGGAGTCCTTCAAAGATATAATGGATTTTTGTGACTACCCTAAAGATCATCCTCTCCAATCAAACTGTCATAAAAAGATGCTTGGTTATCTTAAAGATGAAATGAATGGGAAATCGATTCATGAAGTTATAGCAATCAAACCTAAAATGTATGTGATTGTGAGTGATGAAGGAGAAAAGAAAACCGCTAAAGGTGTACAAAAAGCTGTATTAAAAAAAGAAATAACTAAAGAGAATTATATAGATTGTCTATATAATCTAACTACTTATAAACACACAATGCACAGATTGCAAAGTAAACAACATGAAATCTATGCAGTTGAAACAAAGAAAACAACACTATCACCTCTGGACGACAAGCGATGGTCAATCAATGCTATTGATACTTATGCTTTTGGCAATCATAATATAATGGAGATTGATTAATTTTATTTTTTACATTTTTTTGTTTATTTTTTACATTTTTTCGTTTATTTTTTACATCTATTTTTTTTATTTTTTGTTAAATTTTTTTACTTTTTATGTATTTTTTTTATTAAACATTGATTTAAATAAATTTTTTTAAAATTTTATCATTATTACATTCAGTAAAATTAGAAAAAAATCTTTCATAATCTGGTGCAAACTTCAGAAAAATAATACAGTAATAACCACATAAAGATGAAAGATCTCCTTGTAATTTTCTGATACTGTATTTCCAACCAAATTTAGAATTTCTTTCCATAAAATTTATTATACTTTGTGGTGGGTAACGACCATATGAATCAAAATAGTAAGCTGGTCCATTAATGGGAAAATATATAGCTACCCAATGACTTCCAGGTTTCCAACTTTCATCTAAATTCACTATAAATGATCTTGGTTTAACTATCAATGTCACCGGTAAACGATCAATAGGACCAACTCCTCCAAAGTATAAATTTTTTTTCATTAATTTATGAATATCCCACGTAGTTAAAGCCATTACCAATCGATCGATACGTTACGATATTTATCAATTTCAACAAGGTTATCAAACTGAGCGAAAACAATCATGTGGATTGGATAAGTTGTAGCTGATTTAAATTTAACCTCAATCTTTATATTACCTCGTTTTAAAAGACTCAATGTACCAGTTTCACCACCGATAGTAACGTCTGGTGATAAGTCAAATGCGAATAGACAATATTTTTCTTTATAATCTTTGAATGAGACAGCACACATTGGTACTCCTTCATGTTGATTAAGATAACGATAAAGACCAACATATTCTTTCATATACAAATTATTTTCAAAATCGGGGTTATAGCTATTCGTTGGAATTAAATTTCCATTGACAGCACATGAAATTGACTTGATATCTTGATTTCCAAAGTGAAATGGACCTTGAACACTTTTACCATTGACAAAATCATCACCCACAAAACCAATTATCATTCTACGAGGAAGAATACCATTGAAAATACTTTCAAAACTAATTGAAGTATTAGATTTTGGAATAATGAAGCTTTTCATATCATTTCTAGTGATGAAGTATTTAGATGATCCTTTTTCAAGTGCTTCTTGAATACCAAGGTTTACATTTGAAAATAATTTAACACGACGAACAGTAATTGAAAGATCTTGAATAGTTAGTTTATAGTTAACGATTGGATCAGTCCCAGTTGGAGGGGTCTTGAGCAAACCAAAATCAATATTTGCTCTATTTAACTTTACTAACATGGGAACACCATTAAGTAGTAAATTATCCTGAGAACACATTGGAATATGTAATCTAAAATACAGATCAAAAGGTTTCTTGATTCGATCCTTTCTATTTTCAGTTAAATCCCAACCTGAACTTACATCAATCTTTGATGGAACACCAAAAAGCAAATCTTCAATATATGCTTGATAAGGGTAAAGGTTGTTTGATTGTCCAATGTTTACAGAACCAAGGTAGAAATCAATTTGTTCAAAAAGTGCTGCAGCAAACCCATCACAAATATTCACTTTTGTTATATCTACATCTGTATCAGTTGTTGTTTTCAAACTAAGTTTAACATAAATCATTGTTTCAGATAGATCTGTAAAGTCATCACTAGCTGGAATCGATATATCTATATTTTTTGCGTTATCTAATGTAGCTGAAGGTCTATATTCAACTTCATAATAAGATTCAATAGCTGTTTGTGTGGGTGGAACATGAAACAATTCCAATTCACTTTTTGTAGCTGGTACTGATAAATGGTGAAGATAGTCCATTATGAAAAAATATCTTTCCTTGTTCTGGTTTTCTTTCTCGTCCCTTTATATAGACCTTTTCCTGTCTGATCAATTTTTTCAGAAATTTTATTCAGAGCTTCTTTAGCCGCAATTTTAGCACCTTCTTTTGCTCTTTCTTTGAACGACTCTTTAGCATTTCTTTTAGCTAGAATGTCTGACCCCACAGCTACACCTGTACTAAGTAAGTGTTTACCCAGAAATTTCAAAACTGGAATACCAAATCTAGCAAACAGTGATCCAATTCCATATCCTCTTTGATATGGAAGACCTCTAAAGACATTGATATCAGATATGCCACCACCAACCTGTGATGTATAATAATTTTTGAAATTACAATCACCTGGACAATATTTCTTACGATTCATTTTTTTTTATGAAAATTAGTTAAATGTCGCTTTATATAATCGTCTTCTAAAATGAAGAGTCACAAATGTTCGTCCATTACTGAATTTGATTGGTAAACCAGTTTCGTCTGTTAAAAGTATTGAAATGTTTGTGATGTCACCAAATCTAACAGGAAAATAATACGGCATAGAAAAAGTATGTGTAGAAATCATTCCATCTTGTCCTCCTCTTAAAGGAATGGCTCTTAAACAGTTCGACATTGAATCACCTACATGATGTTCGCGAACAATATCAGAATACACAAACAGTAGGTTTGTGTTTGTTGGGTTTTGTCTTTCATACGTAGCTCTAACAGTTTCTTGAAATTTGAGTATGTCTTTTCCATAAGTAAGGTGATCAAAACCTAAACATCTTAGAAAAGATGGATCATCAAAGATAGGTAAAAATTTAATTCTATTCAACCCAAACAATCCACTTTTTTCAATCAAGCCTGTAAAGATTCTGGTTTGTCTTAACTGTCCATCGATGATAATTGGTCTATAGATTGGTTTAGTCTCTTTTGGTATTTCTTTCATATGATCTGTAGGATCAGCCAAAAAAGAAGCTGGAAAAGATTCAAATACAGAATTTAATCTTGTAATTATATCACTCGTTTCTTCATTCAATTTATATTTAAATGGAAACTTTTTAGTTTTAACTAAGCCTCCATAATCTCTTATCAAGGATATATTTACCGTTTTTTCTTGGTCGTTTTCCATAGTTGTTGGATGAAATATCTCGATCAATGCAACTTCCCACTCACCATCGAGTTTTATCGGAGTGTGAAGATCATTAGTAAATGAAGATAATGTGTTTGAACTATAAGTATTCAAACTTGCGTTTGAAACTAAATCAACTTGAATTTCGTTTAGAGGTTCCATCTTTAATATTTAATTTTTGCTTTATATCTTTATATTATTTTTTCTGGGTCTACCTCTTTTACGTTTCATGATTGGTCTACCTCGTTGTTTATAAGCTTTTTGTAACTCATCGGGGTAAAAAATCGATGTTAGTTCTTCACCATTCAAGTCTTCAAGCTTATAAATATAAGTTTGTGGAGTACGTTTCCTTTTTATTATTTTAAAAATTTCGTTCGTCCAATTTTTTGTTGACCCTTTTTCAAATAAGTTTTTCTTTTTAGCTATTCGAACATACTTAGCATCAACTAAGTTATCTTTCAAATTGTCATCATACTTTTCTTTTTGATTGATATTAATTATGGCTTCATTATCAGGTGAGACATTAATAGGAGCTTCTTTAATTGAACTGTGGTAATTTTTATTATATCCAGAAATAATGTCCTGTAGTGAATCTATATATCTTGTTGTTTTATAGTAATGCATGAATCTATATATTCTTCCTCTCAGAGTACGATTAAAACGTTCGACAATTGCACATTTTACAGCATCATCAGTAGTTGTGAAAAAAATTATATCATTATGCTTCATCAGTTGCTTAAATGTTGAATTAACAAACTCTTTTCCTTGATCAGTTTGTAATTTTTCAGGTTTTCTATCTAGTAAAATTTTCTCCATAGCTGCGCTTATACTCTTAGCTGATTTATCTTTCACAGGTAACGCCCAAGCATATCTACTGAATATATCAATGACAACAAGAAGATACTTAACATTATCGTTTGTTTTTGCGAACCATGAAACATCCATCAAATCAGCTTGCCATTGTTCATCAATTTTATGAGTTAAAGTTTTCAATCTTGGAAAGTTTCTTATGGTTTTCTTAAAAAGTGAATAAGTTTCTTGGTTATTTAACCATTTTTTCACTTGTTCATTAGTTGTGCTCGGTTTGCTTTTTTTAATTTCTCTTAAAAGCTGTTGAACGCTACCAAAACTTCCAGCTTTTGCAGGGTCTGTGTAAATGGTATTCAAAACTTTTTTATCGAATTCCATCCTTTTCCTGATTGTATTGCCTTTCTTCGACTATTATATAGAATTTCAGATGCCTCACCTAAATCCAACGTTCGATTGATATCTGCAATTTCATCTAAAATAGCTATACCTTTAGGATTAGTTATCACATCTTCTTCACCGATTCTATGTAATTCACGAGCGACTGTTTTATAACCTGATGGACCTGGTTTATCAACAGGTGTTGATGATGTTAAATAGTCTAAAACTCTATTAACATTGGAGCCTGGTATTGGTTTTTTATTTGAATTGATGACTCTCCCCCTTGGTGTAATTTTATTTATTAGTTTCTCGATAATTGGATGAGGCTTAGATGGTAGTGGAGTAATTGGTAAAGGTTTATCCCAAGAATATTCAGCTGACTCAAATTCATCATAAATATCTTGGGAAGATGATTGATTCATTTGCGTGCTTGGTTGTATATTTGTCTGACCACTATCTAAATGTCGATTGATTTGATTTTCAATCATTTGAGGTGGAAGTGGTCGATCCAAAATATAAGATATTTTATCTCTAGTCGCTGACTGAAGTTTCAAATACTCATCTTCTGGAATGAGAACCATCTTTGTGTAAGCATTCATATTTTGTTAGCGATTAGTGAACCTAATAAACTTATTGCAGGAATTAAAAGGGCAGGTAAACCACCTCCAACTTGATTTATGTATTGTCTTCGTTCTGTTAAGGGAACTTTTTGTGTGGCTAATTTTCTTAATGTAGTTTTATATTTAGCTAATTTTTTCTTTTCAGTCGATGAAATTGGTATATTCCCGTTTAAAATATTTTTAATAATTTCACTTATTGAATAAATAATACAACTTTGACAATTTAATATTACTTTTCTTTGTTCAGCTCTGTTTTTAATCTCTACAAGCTTGATTAGCTCAGGTAAACATCTTATAACACCCTCGATAGTCATACTTGTACATAATTTTTACTATATAATTTTATGATGTCAGTCTTTATATTAGTGAACCTTCACCAATTTCCATATTCTTAAATCCAAGTTTATCAATATTATCCATAATAAAATTTCCATTGTTGAACCACCATCTGTATACAGGTTGAGGAGTAAGTTCATGATTGAATTCATGGAAAAGATGAATCAACTTTTCCATAAATTCACCAGCACTGATAAAGTTAATTGATTCATGGTCTAAATTGATATTTTGACCATCTATATCAATTAAAAGTCTCTTTTCACTATCAATGACAACAGCAGCAGATTTTCCACTGGGTGAAGAAAATGGAGACATATGATTTGGACTCTTTTGATATTGAATACAATAGTCCCTAAGAGCTAAAAAGTCTATTGGGTTGAGGTTTAAGCTCCCACTGGGTCTAGAACTATTTTTTGTTGTTAAACGTAATTCAACTTTCAAAAACCAACGATCGATATTAGTAGAGGTTGAAGCATCAACAGAGATAGAAAACTCATCATTCATCATTGTTGTGAATTTTTCAACAAAGACGTTAATAGTTTCCAAATCTTTTCGCTCATCAACTTTATCAGACCAAACAGTAATATTTTCTTGATGAATACCAGAAAAAGGACGATTACACTTTCTTAAAGCTTTTGGGAATTTATCATCAAAGTCTTTACTTTTGATTATGGATTGTAAATCAACTGACCAATTGTAAGTGAGATTTTTATGTGAAAATGACAATGAACCATTTTTTCGATATTCGTGATCGATATTATCATCAATTTTTTCTTGATGATCATCAAGAATAAACGCTCTCACTTTATTAAATACTTTGAATGGTATCTTCTTTGAATTATTTTTTGGTATATCAATCATAATTTTTCCAATCATTTTTGAGCTGATTACCACTGAAAAACTCCATTTTTCTCCTGCAGTAATTCTTCCAATCAATTGAATTTTATATTCAATATCATTAAGAGTTTGTGAATAGTTTGATAAATGAACATTCATTTTATTTTTTATTGTTTTCTACAGAGTAAACGGCTTTATATAACATAAACTGATATTGGAGATGACCAAATATTGGAGAGTAATCTCAATTTTTCAGGAGTATCAGGTTTTAAATCGATGAAAAGGTAAGAATATGGTCTCTCAGTAGCAGTTTCAAAGATTTGATTAAATGATTTTATCTTGTTTGGATACATTTGTCTTGCTATGTTGGAAGAAATAGTTTTATCTCTGGGGTTCTTGAATAGAACAATATAATGAGAATTTAAAGTAATGTTACGAATCTCACTTCCTTTTACGAAAAAGTTTTGTACAAGAAATATTACAGAAATATTTCTATGATGAGAACCTTTTGTAAATAGTTCACTAATTACTTGACTTTTACCAACTTCATGCATGAGATCATCTAAAATTATCCAAATTGGTTCGTTTTCAGGGTTAACTTTTTGTAAGAAATTTTCTGGAATTCCCTTAATGAAGGTTACTCCAATCAAGCTTGCAAATGTTGGTTGGAATTCCCCATATAAGTAGTAAATGTGTTTCGGTGAAGGATGTGAAGCGAAAAGCGCCTCCTTAATCATTTTCCGAACCCATTGGGTCTTTCCAGAACCTGTTGGACCACTAATTGTCATGGTAAATGGGTGTTTCAAGTAAACTGAATACATTTCTACTCCCTCTTTCTCCTCAAATCTTTATATAAAAGGAGTAAAATCATGAAGTTTCATTCATTCGTTCACAATGAACAGTTCATCTTGGAAAAACTTTACTATTGTTGACGCGCCCATGTCCTTGGGTCTTTCCTTCAGTGACAAAGTTAAACGAATTGATATTCGTTTCAAAAAAGAAGGAAAGTTTACCAAATATGGTGTTTCATTAACACCATCTGAAATGGAATTCTGTGCTTCTTTTGCCCGAAACTTCCAGGAATCCCCTTCGAAAGCTTCTTTCTACTCACTTGTGCTTGAAAAATCTGGTGAAAATGGATTTCGAATTAAGAAAAAAGATAAAGAAGTGTTAACAAATCTTCTGTTTTGGAATCAAATTACTCCTTATATTCCAGCGGTAAAATATTTGTGCTTGAAAGATGGGATCAGTGTTGAAACAATTTTGGATCTTTATTTGTGTTGTCAATATCTTTCAAAAGAAGAAGTGCTGGCTAAAAAGTGGTATTCCAATGCTAATATTATAAAAGATAACATTGATGGTTCTTTCCTCGTTAAACTTGGTTTTGTTCAATTGAATCAGTATGAAACTCGTACAATCGATACTGAAGAAATGAATCAATTTGCTGAACACCTCCCTGAAACCTTCGCTTCAATCGTTAAAATGATATTTCGGGAGCAAGAATCTCTATATAAAGGAAAACAAGAATAATTTTTCATTCATTCACTTCTCCGCTATGGATATATTCTGTGCTTATTTCGATGTTCAAGGATTCTATATCAATGGTCTTTTTCACCCAGTTGAAATTTGTATGCTGAGTAATAATGAACTATTTCACTCAAAAGTTAAAAAAGAATGTAAATGTTATCCGTCAAAAGAAGAAAAGAGAAGTATCGATTTTTTAACCAAAAATTATCATGGACTATCGTTTTCACCGGAAGGACTCCATTTCAAGAGATTGAAATCAGTTTGTTCTAAGATCTATTATCGTGCTTTATCAGACCCTTCGATTTACATTGCTTGTAAATCTAAAGAAGCTGAGGAATTATTGGATTATTTCGGTTTACCAAACATGAATCTGAATGATTTCAATATCAATCATTCTGGCATCGATACTGGTAGAAGACCATGCAGATTCCATGATCAAACAAAAAAATTCAAATGCTCTTATAACGTTGTAAAAGATTTGAAAAAATTTATGTCGAAACCGAATTTTCAAAAAAAATAATTTTTGTATTCGAAAAATGTTGTTAATCTAACTTTGAAGAGTTGAAATAAAGATAAATTTTTGAGAAAGAAAAAACTTTTCTATCATCTTTTGTTTGGGATAAATTCAATGATAAATTCCTGTTACCATGGTAACGAGAGGTTTTTCTCATATTACTATGAAACGGTTCACATTGTATCTTTTATTTTGTATGTCACTTGTAGATCATGTGAATGTGAGTTTGTAGACATGTCATTTGTCTATCTAGTGCTTTGCATTCAAAAGTTATGAGACTTTGAAAAAACAGGATTTTTCAAATGGGTTTTTCTACTAGAAGGGATGATTTTTCGAAAAAAATTTCAATGGGCCTAATAATCTTTACCTACGGTAAAGAGAATTAAGGGATTAAAAGAGGAAATTTTTCCATGTTAGAAAATACCATATTCAAAATTCAATTATTGCGCAATACTTAAGTATATACTAATACATTGTTTAATAGAAATTAGCATGTTAATCCATTAGCAAGTATAAAGATAATGCTTTGTCATTGACTTTATTAATGTAAAACAAGAAAACGAAGGTTGCTAATTGATTTGCATATTTATTACAGGAAAGAGTTAAGGTTATATCTTTTCGTTCTTGAGTTCGATAATTAGACATTTCCATGATTTAACCTTTATTCTTCGAACGTGTGAGGGACATATCGATTAAGAAGATTAAATGATTAACTAAAGGAATGTAAATATAATCTTTACATATTGATCAAGAAATTAATTATCACCTTCGCTTATTACAACGAACATTTTAATTACTATCTGTCCATGATCTAAAATCTCATGAATTACTTTAAGACTAAAATAATTAGAAGAAATAATATAATATAAGAGATAAAACAATAGATTAAGTTCACTCGATTTCCATATATCGAAAGATAAAGTTCAATTTGATTAATTTTGTTTTCAACAAGTTTCAAAAAGTTTTTATCTATTTGTTTCATATATATTTCGATAAAGTAATGGAATATGGTAAAAGCCATTTGCGTGCTCGACTCACCAATTCAGATCGGTTAATTTGTGCTAAGTATGGTTGCAAACCCTGTGCTAATAGTGAATACAGGTATAGTGAAGATACTGTGGATTGCGACATTTTCCCTGCTCATGTTGAGCGTGTAACGTTCGCAGACATTTTGGCCATTAATCGTCGGAAGGAGGTTGAAGAAAAAGCGAAGAAAGAGAGAGAAGAAAAGGAGAGACAAGAGAGAGAGGAAAAAGAGAAGAAAAAGAGAGAAGAAAAAGAGAAGAAAGAGGCAGAAGAAATTAATGGGCTCCAAAAAGTGATTGATGATTTATTCGAAGATTGGGAAATGACATCTCTTTCCCCCATTCAATTTGATACATCATCATCTGGTTATATTGGAGCTGATCATCAACCAGTTCCAACTGAAAGTAAATTCGAAATGATTACTCCACCATCAACCATTGGAACTAATCTTCAATTTATTTCGCAATCACTTCCTTCACCTATCCCTCAAGCTCTTCCACCACCTCTTCCTCAAGCTCTTCCAACACCTTTCCTTCAGAATCTTCCACCACCTCTTCCACCACCACCACCAATCTCACAACAACCTAATGTTATGGTTATAAAACCAATGAGTTCGGTTATCATGTACAACATGAGTCAAACTCATGACATGTTTGTATATTCATATCACAATCAAATCAATTGATTGTTTAATAATAATCTATTAAAGATTACATAAATTCAAATTTTTAATCAAAATATTCATCGTGAAATTCGTATCGTCTCAGGTTGTCCTGGAAGTTATATATTTCCACTACTGTTACAATTAAAAGTTCAATTCAATTCGCTCAACTAATTGCAGCAATCAACTAATCAATACCAACAAATCAGTGACCAAAGATAATCATTATCACCAAAATCAACACAATCATCAACATCCCAATTAGCGATATCAACTAGTCATAATCATGATCATCATTAGGTATCTTAGGTATCAACAATTAACTAATTGTTTCTCAATTTCTTCTCTTCTTCTTCTCTTCTTCTTTTCTTCTTCTTTCAATAGTTTCAAGAAATGACTTTTCTCGGTGGATCGGCAATGATGGCGATCGGATTCATTTGTTGTTCTTGTCGAATCATTTTCTTTGGTCCTCATTTGCTTAATTGTTGTCCAGCAATCAAATCCTCCACAACAATTAACACTTATCACAATCAAAGAAGACCAACTAATCCTCCTTTTTTCACCGCTGCATCAACCGCGATGTCCACAGTCACTTGTATTGGTGTTAAATTCAATTCCAATCAATCAACTGAAAGGCCAATCGAATCTTCATCGAAATCAATTGATTCAAATTCAATTCATTGGAATTGATTGGAGAGATTGGAATCAATTAAGGTGAAATTTTCGATTATCATAAAACATTATCCAAACTCTATATTCTTCTCGATATTTTATTCCTACTCAACACTTGGAGCATTTCAATCAACAGGCACCGTTAAGATAAAAACTATTGTTAATCAACTAATTACTTTTCCTAATCAACTGATAATCACAAAATTAACACTTTAATCCCGAAAAGTAAATCATGTTAACAACATCAACTCGAAAAGTAAATTAAACTGTCATCAATTAATAAAATTGTCGAGACAAAATTGACAAAGAAATTGATTGTAATTTATGTTCACAATTAATTAAACAAGACAATTAAATTAGTAGATGAGGCCACTTCCGTGTTTTCTAATGTGAAATGTAACCTGTTGAAAGAAGATAAGAGATCAATTTATCTAAGAACTTATCGATTTCCAAATATTCTAATTTCTCGATAATTAACTTTACCTGAATTAATAAATGTTGAAACATTTTTCCTCTTTCTTTTTTAATTGTTTCCTCTCTTTGGCTCTTCTATTTTGGAACCAAATTTTCACTTGTCGTTCCGTTAACTGGAGATTCACCGCCAATTCCGCTTTTCTCTTAATTGTTATGTATTTTGATGTATGAAACTCTTTCTCTAATTCTAACCTTTGATGATCAGAATAAACAACTCGATATTTATCGCGAGTTCTTGTTTTCCCCGAAGAGGGTTGACCTGAGGTCGATGTTGCTGATTTCCAACACGTGGTTATCGATGTGGTGGATGGAGATGAAGATGAGGATGAAGTAGCTGAAGGTGTAAATGGAGTTGATCTGATTGGTGGGTCAATGTTTTCACTTTTAATTGTAGTTGGTGGTAAAAGAGGTGGTGATGCTTTAATTAGATTTTGTTGTTGATCATCAGATGATGAAGGTGTTGTTTGGAAACGATGATGATCATGATAGAGATGATGATTACTATTATCAAAATGCACTAAATGGTTTTGTTGATTGAATAGTTGATGAGGTGGTTGATGTTGGTGGGACAAAGGGTATGAATGTTGTTGTTGTTGTTGTTGTTGAATTAAATTACCACCAAGTTGGTCAAGTGAACTGTTTTGAAAGTAATTTAAATGATAAGGATGATGATGAGGATAAGGTTGTGGATAATGATTATAATCATAATCAATAAGAGAATTGTTGAAATTCTCCATAATTTATTATACAATTAATGAAAGAGAACAAGAAATTAACTAAACACGGAAACTTCTAAAAACAGACTCAGAACTTGACTGAACTTACAACTATTTCATCTACTGAAAAAGTTTCAAAGAAAATCTTCTCCTCCTTCAATCTCTCTCTCTCTCTCTCTCTCTCTCTCTCTCTCTGTTTTCTTACCTTTGCTTTAACTCCACCCTATCAATCGCATTACAATAATAAAAAGAAAGACTGAACGAGAGAGAGAGACGGAAAAGTGGCCTACGGTCATACTTTTTCGCAAAGAGGTGCAAAAAAGTCTTATGACTTTTAACATCTCTATCATCATCATCGTCTCGGTCTTACAGGTAGTCTTTTTTTTCACAAAGAGGTGCTAAAAAAGCCCATCTTTCCTCTTCGGCTTCTCTTTACTTTCTTAATTTTTTTTTCTTCTTCACTTCTTTCATCTTCTCCTTTCCTCTTCTTCTTCTTTTCTTTAATTGTTTTATTGCCTTATAGAAGAAAAATGATGATGACAAGAGAAGAAGAAGAAGATGATGAAAATGATAATGAAAATGAGAATGATGATGAAAACTGGGAATGATGATGTCATGATATCTTTTTTTCATCTTCTTTATCTTCTTCTTCTTCTTCTTCTCTGAGAATAATAACAATTCAGAGATTTATAGTAAAATGTTATTGATGATTAAACGAAATGAAGAATGAGTTATCATTTGTTTGCATCTGATTAACTTTATTGCTTCCAATCTCTCCCAAGGTGATCATCAATTGCTTTCTTTATGTAAACCTTAACCAAAGTTTCATTTATATTATTAATATGATGACAATCAGTTAACCAAATACAATTTATTTTCGTGTACATTTTTATTGTACAATTTCACACTCACTCTCTCTCTCTCTCTCTCTCTCTCTCTCTCTCTCTCTCTCTCTCTCTCTCTCTCGATCTTTTTCGATCTCACAAATTTCCTTCCTTCTCTCACTCCTGATCATTATCATCATTCTCTCTCTTCCATCATCGTAATCATGTTTTCTATATAATGTTATTTGAATATTTTTTTTCTTCTTTTTCATCATCTTAATTTCATTTCATTATATTTACTCATTCACTTTAACATAATTGTAATACGATTGATAGAGAATAGGGTGGAGTTAAAGGAAAGGTGAGAAAGCAAGAGAGAGAGAGAGAGAAAGAGAGAGAGAGTTTGAAGGAGGAGAAGATTTTCTTTGAAACTTTTTCAGAAGATGAAATAGTTGTAAATTCAGTCAAGTTCTGAGTCCGGTTTTTCGTTTGAGTTCCATTCTTAGAATTTCAATTGTTTTTCGTTTTTTTTCTTCTTCTATTGGTTTGCTTTTTATTAATTGTTTTCTAAATTATGGATAATTTCAATCATCCTCTTATCGATTATGATTATAATCATTATTCTCAACCTTATCCTCATCATCCTTACCATTTAAATTATTATCCAAATAGTGCACATCTTGACCAACTCGGTGGTAATTTTATTCAACAATCAACACAACAACATTCATATTCACTCTCTCATCAACATCAACAATCACATCAGAACCATTTCGATAATTGTAATCATCATCTTTATCATGATCATCATCGTTTTCCATCAACAGCATCTTCATCATCTGACAATTTCACCCCAACAACATTAATCAAAAGTGAGAACATTGATCCACCGGTAACGGCAACACCTTCGGCTACCTCATCATCATCTTCATCTCCTTCAACCACATCGATCACTACATCGTGGAAATCAGCAACATCGACCTCAGGTCAACCCTCTTCGGGGAAAACAAGAACTCGAGATAAATATCGAGTTGTTTATTCTGATCATCAAAGGTTAGAATTAGAAAAAGAGTTTCATACATCAAAATACATAACAATTAAGAGAAAAGCTGAATTGGCGGTGAATCTCCAGTTAACGGAACGACAAGTGAAAATTTGGTTCCAAAATAGAAGAGCCAAAGAGAGGAAACAATTAAAAAAGAAAGAGGAAAAATGTTTCAACCTTTATTGATTCAGGTAAAGTTAATTATTGAGAAATCAGTGGATTAGTTACCGTTCGTAACCATTTCGAGTGATTGTTTCATTGATGAACTTTTTTCTCTATCTCTTTACTATTGATTAGGTTACAGAACTTTCATTAATTTATCACAATCATCAATGTAACGGAGCTCGAGATACAAAAGGATTCACGAATTGTCTTGGACATTTGGACTTAAGTGGCCTCATTATCATCATAAATTCATCAACAATTCATTTAATTGTCTCAAAGTATTAAGATGAATTCATGTAAAACATAAAAATACAAAAGATTTACAATCGAACTGATTTGTTAATTGTTTCAAATTCATTTCATTTCTTTTCATTTTTCATTTTCCATCTACGATTTAAAGTAAAATGTGGAGAAAATATAGAGAAGAAAATAGAGTTTGAATAAGGTTGATGATGGAGTGATGATCAATTAGATGAATTGGTTTCCATGTTTTCATCATGATTCTAATTCTTATTCGAGTAATTTAATCATTTAAACAAATTGTTTCCATTTATAGGATAATTTGACTGAGAAGAGGAGGAGTTTTGGTAAGTGGGGTGAAAGAAGGAGGATGATGAATACAGGAGAATGAGAGAAGATGATGATGAGAAAGAAAGAGAGAGAAAGAGAGAGAAAGAGAAAGAGAAGTTGAAGAAGAAAAAGAAAAAGAAGATGAACAAGGTGAAGAAAGAATAAAAACAACTAAGATAGTGAGAGAAGACGAAGACGAAAAGCGAAAAAAAGAAAAAAAGAAAAAAAAGAGAATTTTATATTTGGCGCCAATTCTTCGATTTAATGTTTTCTTATTTGGGGTTAGGAGAAGATCCAACAGATGGCGAGAAACAGAAGAAAAAGGAAATGAATGAATTTGAGATTTTATTTAGAAAAGGTGACGTTGTAATAATAAGAGAATTTCGGTGAATTGATTGTTACTTTTGTCTTTTAATTTTGTGATTAAATTATTGGATTTGTTCTTTTGGTGGAAATGGATTTTCGTGTGGAGAGTCTGGTGGATCCTATGCGATTATTTGCCAAGGATTCTTATCGTTTAGTGAAAAGATGCACAAAACCAGATAGAAAAGGTTTGTAGTAAACATTAGAAAATGTTTTAAATAGAAAAATGATTTCTGACATTTCTTTTTCTCTTTTTGTCTCTTTTTGTCTCTTTCTGTCCCTTCATCTTTTCCATAATCTTGGTCTTTGTTAATTACTCAGAGTTCCAAAAAATCGCTATTGCTACTGCTATTGGATTCGCCATCATGGGCTTCATTGGATTCTTTGTGAAATTGATCCACATTCCAATCAACAACATCATTGTGTAAGTATTTCTGCCACATAATCTTGATTAGGATTTGTCATGATTGGTTCCCGTTATTGAATTATTATCGGCAATCGACATGCTATCTACTGTTCAGTTTGAAAGGTCAATAGTTCAATCATTTTTCTGTAAATACCTGGTTAGGTTCAACTATATCAAGTCAATCATTTCTTGTAAATTAGTTCAATTTTAGTTTCAATTGCCAGTTCTGTTTAATTTCAAAATTCACCGGTTGATTTCATATTTCATTTACCGGTTGAAAATATGAAAAGAAAACTATTTTTATATTGCCGATCTCTCAATCAATTTGGAAACTTCTGTAAAAAAAATACCTTTCTAACCTTTTTTATCTTTTCTTTTTTTACAGAGGTACTTAAAAGCGTTAACGATGGTTCCAAAATAAAGAGCATTTTACTATATCACACGTTTATTTGACCTATTTTACTATCGGATTATAAGTGATGTGAAATAAATTTGAAACTTTCACTCTACATTCTCGTGATCTAAACATACAAAACAAACCCTGGACTCTCTTGTTTTTAACCGAATTTGCAGTTCGAAATAAGATTTTGGAATATTAGTAGCTAATTTAAATTCTCGATTTGATATTGAATTCAAAAATTATGAGGTTTTCTAAGAAGTCGGATGATATTTTTTAATTAATAACGTGAATATCAACTCGGTGAAAAGTAATTACTCAATTAGTGGACTTCGTAAAAGTTATTGTTATTTCGAGAATAAAATTAGTCGCTTAACATGTAACAGATATTCCATATCCATAAATTCCACTTAATATAATTGGATTAGGAGAGATTATATTTTAGGATGGATTATGATTAGAGGAAAGCAATAAGCGTTTGGAATGATTTTAGATCATTGATTGTTCATGTGATCCTTTGATTATCCACTCATTACGGTTTTAACAAACTCTTCGTAATGAATGTTACCCTGTGAATCCTCTTGACCAGCTAAAAGTTGTTCAACTTCATCATCTAGAAGTTTTTCACCCAAAGTAGTAAGTAAGTGTCGCAATTCAGCTGAACTAATGACACCACTTCCATCCTTATCGAAGTGTCGTAAGCCTTCAATGAAATCTTCGGCTGTGTCGGTACATCGATTCTTGGAGACAGTTTGAAGGATCGGAAGGAAAACATCAAAACCAATTCTATCATCTGATGCAAGAGAAAAGAAAATAATATTTATCATTACAAGAATATCTAAATGATGTCAATAAAAAGACGATTGATTGTAAATTTACCAGGTCTTAGTTGATTACAACATTTCTTTACTTCGGCTTCAGTTGGATTTTGACCCAATGCTCTGAGAACATCACCTAATTGGGAAACATTGATTTTTCCATCGCCTCGATTATCAAAGAGAGAGAAGGCTTCTTGATATTCTTTGATTTTAGAAGGAGGAGAGAGAAAGAAAAAAAAGAAAGAAAAGAAAGAAAGAAGAAATGTAAATGAATTGATTTGATTTGATTTGATTTGATGGAATTGTCAACATGAAGAGAAACAACTTACCAGCGACTTGATCCTCTTTGTAGTTAACCTAAATGTCGATGGAAAATTAGAGTGGGTGAAAAAAGGAAAGGAAAGGAAGAGAAAAGACATAAAAAGAGAATAATTATCACAGATTAATAACATAAACATCCTGATACAATAAAATGTAGTAAACAAAGTAATTGATTTGGTCGGTGATAGAGAAACAAAAGTAAAGGTAAAGAGAGAGAATGAAAAAGAAGAGAAAAGGTAAAAGGTAAACATACTCACCATTCTGATGAATTTGTGAAGAAAATAAAGTGAAGATGAAAATGGAAATGAAAATGAATTGAATTAGAATATTAAAGAGAATCAATTGAACGAAATGAATTGAATGTTAATCATGAAATAAATGAATTAAACTCTTTTTGTTTCCTTTCATTGACAATTAACAAGAAAAACAAAACGAAACAAACAGAAAGAGAATTTTTTCTTTCTTTTATTTTTGTTTCTCTTTCTTTTTTCTCTGTCGTCATTTCCTGAACCGCCTTCTTTAAAAAAGCTCCACAATTGATTCTCATCATTAGAAGTTAATTATTGCGAGTTAATTAACAGTTAATTTTCTAAAAATAAACGAAAATTAAAGTTGAGATGATTGGATGAAATGACGAAGAGAAAAGTTTAGAAACTGTAGTTGATATTTTCTTTCGATTCTTTTTAATTGATCAAAGAAAATATTCTAATTGTTTTTCTTTAATTTTGATTATTAATTTACTTTTATGGAAATTGATTAATCATGATGATTTATTTCCTAAATTGGAAATATATTGTAACATGATTGGGTTAATTGTTTTTATCTTTTGATTGTTTTGATTGTTTTGATTATAATTGTGATCATGATCAATGTCATGATTATGTTTATGTTTATGATTGTGATCAATTTGATTAGTTGATTGTTGGTCACAAATTTCATCTTTAATTGTTTCAATTGATTCTAAACTACTGGTATTCCCATGAATTGAATTTGAATCAATTGATTTCGATGAAGATTCGATTGGCTTTTCAGTTGATTGATTGGAATTGAATTTAACACCAATACAAGTGACTGTGGACATCGCGGTTGATGCAGCGGTGAAAAAAGGAGGATTAGTTGGTCTTCTTTGATTGTGATAAGTGTTAATTGTTGTGGAGGATTTGATTGTTGGACAACAATTAAGCAAATGAGGACCAAAGAAAATGATTCGACAAGAACAACAAATGAATCCGATCGCCATCATTGCCGATCCACCGAGAAAAGTCATTTCTTGAAACTATTGAAAGAAGAAGAAAAGAAGAAGAGAAGAAATTGAGAAACAATTAGTTAATTATTGATATCTAATGATGATCATAATCACGATGATGATACTTACTTGATCTTCATTGAAATAAACATAAACACTAATCAAAATGGCTCCTAATCCAATTAAGATCAATATAAATCCAGAGACAACAAGGACATCGGGTGAACGATAATGTTTCCCAAAGTAGATCTCAATTAACGAAGCACTTAAAGACAATCGTTTTAATTGTAATTGTGTATTTGATTGTGAATAACGAATGTCATTTGTATCGTGAATATTTAAACTAATTGTTGATGATTTTTTACTTTCACCTGATTTATTATTGTGATGATAATGATACGGATTAGGATTAGGATTAAGACTCTGATTACAATTACGATTATGATTATGATTATGATTATGTTGATATTGTTTATTGGGATGTTGATTGTGTTGATTTTGGTGATAATGATTATCTTTGGTCATTGATTTGTTGGTCTTGATTAGTTGATTGTTACAATTAGGTGATTGAATTGAATTGAGCATTTAATTATATTAATAACAGTTCAACTTTTGTAATCAAACAACTTGATGTTTATTGTTGATTTAATTTTATTGATTATTTGATTGTTTAATATTAATAATAAATTGTTGTGAAAAATATTATGTGAATTCATGATTAATATTAATCATTAATTAGGATACAATAAATGAAATCAAAGTCAAAATCACAATTTAAATAATTTACTTGAATCAAACTGAAAAATATCAATACAAGTTTAATTGATGACAATCAATTTAACCACAAGAATTATAATAACTAAATGAATCAAGTTTCTTAAGTAATTACAATTACAATCAATTAATTATCATCTTCTCCCTCTCACTTTCTCACTACAATTAATAATATCATCATTAAATGATCATAATGATAAAATTTCTTGTAGCAATTAAATAAATATTGAGGAATTAACTTAATTATCAACACAATTTGATCATCAACAATTAATAAGCTCATTATTGATTAACTGATTAATTGATTGCTAGTCAATGAATGAATGGTAAGGGTAAAAAAGATTTTCTGTTCGTTACAATTAACAATTTTTTCTAATTACAATTAAAAGTTTCCCAAGTCAATCAACTCTCAAATAGTTAACTTAAACAATCAACTAACCTTCTTGTCTTACAATTAACTTGATCGTCAATGGAAAATAATAATCATAACAATTAGAATGAGAAATAAATCATATAATCATCGGATTAACAATCAACAATCAATACTCTAAATCCTTAATTGTGACAATAATAGTTTTCATTTACCAAAATATCACCAATGAATGTGAAGAGTTGAATAATTCATTCAATTAGTTAATCATCTTCTAATTTTAATTTAAATAATAAATAAATTTAATTTCTCCTTTTCTTAATCAAAACAATCTCGAAACTGGATTGAACTGAATTTACCAATTAATTAGAAAAAATTAATTTTCTCTCACTAAGCAGATAAATGGTTCTATTACTTTATTATCACTAATCAAGATAAAATATCTAAGTTCTGATAAGAATCGGAGGTCAATTAATAATTTCTATTAATAATCAAGAAAATTAAACCTTGTCAACAATCAAACAATTGTAAACTAATTAAAACTGATCCAATATATTAACAGAGAGGAAATTAAATTCTACTTGAAAGAAAAAACTCTTGATTGTTGAGCACTTTTCGTAAATTATTTACAATCAACATCTCGTAGCATAAGATTTCCTATCTAATCAAATGCAAATGAAAACAATTTACTAATTACGGTGACACAATTAATTGTTTGTCCACTTTCAACAAGAGGTGATCATTGATCAGATGTTTAGTTTAGTTTCTGCTTCGGATGTGACAACATCAAAGAGGAAAACAAAAATTAGCTTTATTTTCAATTCTAATTACATTTGTATGTTAGCGTTTTATTTATTAATTGTTCTCAACGTTTGTTTACTAATTGTTTATCTAATTTCTTATCAATTTACTAGTTAATCAAGTGAACATATCCAATGGAAGGGACCAGTAAAAGTGGTGTAAGTCAAAAGGGAGAAGATGAATTTTGGGAAGTGGAAAAGATTCTCGATAAAAGGATCAATCATGGTGTTGTTGAATATCAACTTCGTTGGTCTGGTTGGGGACCAGAATGGGATTCATGGGAAACCATGGAAAATGTTGATTGTCCAGAATTAGTTTACTGGTTTGAAGATAAATTAAAACGTAAAATGGCCGCCAAGGAGAGATCCAGACATGAACCTAAAGTTAGGCCTCTATTTGCTCCCAAAGAACCCACTGGATTTGATAAAGGCCTTACGGCTGAAGCCATTACCGGTGTAACTAAGCTCGATAATGAGATTATCTATTTTGTTAAATGGTAATTCAATTGTGTTGATTTAATAGTTTTAATCCTTTATCGTGTTTATGTAACATTGTTTTGCTTTTTTCTCTTTTCTTTGTTTACTATTTTATAGGAAGAACGAGGATAAACAAGGAATTATCCCTGGACATGTTGCTAAGAAAAAGTGTCCACGTTTGGTCATTGAATATATGGAGAACAATATCCGAAGAAATGATCAACACAGCAATTAAAGAGAATAACAATCAAATTAATCACCATTAAGGCCTTTCCAGTGGATGGGGAATGAATATCAAACAATTTCTAGTGTTTTTGAGTTTCGCTTACAACAATCAACACATTTGATTAATTCATTTACGAATTTTGAAAGATTTTATCTCGAAACCTTTTCCCGTACTTTTTTTTCTCTACCACAGGCAATTAATCAACTCATCAACAATCAGTAATCAATCTTCGTTTTCTTTTTCTCATTTTCATCTAATTCATTTTGAATACGAAATTAATTTCAATTGATTAACATGTAATCGTTTCCGTTTCAACATTTCCGTCCAACTTTCACCATTGCTAAACCTTCATCATTACCATTGATTGTTTTTCTCCGTTGAAGCTGACGATTTTCTCTTGATTTTATTCAAGAATTACACCAATTAAACTTACTAATTGTTTTTAACTAATTTCAATTTGCTTAATGATTATTTTTATTATAGCTAATTACAGCAAGTCTCCAAAGACTTTATCATCTTAAAAGATGATACTAAGAGTGAGTACAACTCTTTTGGGTGGGTTACAAGTTTGGATTGAGAATAAGGTGTTGGTAATATTATTAATGAGTTTCGATTATACAGTAGTAGTAGATTTAGTTAAATCTCAGTTCGGACAATCTGAATGTTTTTTAATTGATGATAATTGTCCCGCTCATCGGGCTAATCTAATTAATGAATGGTTTAGTTGTTGTAACTATTTACACAATATCAACCTTAAGTTGATAAAACTACCTGCATATTCACCTGAATTTAATCTGATTGAAAATGTCTGGGGCTGTAACAAATACGATTTTCTCTACTCTAATTGCGTTCCTAGTACTCGAGATGAAATGAAACATTTTATAATAGAAAATTGGAATAAAAAAAAATTAGTTCCTAATTATTGTGAAAATCTGTATGGATCATGGTCAAAAAGATGCGAAGACATAATTGCCAATGATGGTTACTCAATCAAGTATTGATTAAAATTATCTTTGTTTTGATTGTTCAATCAATTGATTGTAATCACTTCCTGCGCAAATGATTTAAAAATCATTCGAAACTCATTTTTCACGGCTGTATGTTTATCGTACAATTAATCAGTTGTTTGGAGACTTGCTGTATTATTCCTGCAATTCTTAGATATGTTTCAATGTTATCTGCTGTGATTATAATTAAAATCGCGAATCATTAACGTGCTTCCATCTAGTGGCTCTTTTTGTAACTAAAATGTGTTGACATTTTTGCTCATTTGTTTTCATTTATTGTTCACATTTTAATCACATCACAAGGTTTGCCTTCAATTAATTATTGTCAATTAATTGTTTTTAGCTGTTGTAATTTTTTAAATATTAGATAATTAGTTAATCTTCTCTTCTATGATCAATTAAATTTTGGAAGAAAAGAAATGATTTTTGATCTCTTTTTGTTTGTGTTTTATGTTGTTGACATGAAAACCAATTTTCAATTTCCAATCAGTGATTTAATGATTAAAACAATTGTCAACAACCTTGCCAATGAAATCTAATATTTTTGTGTTTCTATTAAAACAATAACAACCCATTTTTACAAATAGTAACACAATTAATCAAAGTGATTATATTGATTAACTAATTGGTCAACAATAGCAAAGGACAAAAGGTAATGTATTGTGAATACTAAACAAATTGTATCAGACAGGAAGACAAAAGTAGAGAAAAAGGAAAAAAAATTAATCAAATTGTGTGGAATTGATTGAAAGAAATGAGAGTAAGTGTGAAAACTGTGAGATTGACACAGAAATCAACAATCATTAACACACGAAAATCAATTAATCATGTCTTCATTTCTGTTACTGTTGTTACTTAATTATTGTGTGTGTTGTCATTATCATTTCAACACTATTTTCAATTTTATCTCTGCTCATGTATTTACATTGAATAGCAAATATGATTGAATAATAAGATAAAAATCTTAAATACATTTTGATAAATGTTTCTTTTTATCCTAACGAATAGTAAATGATACAAACAACAACAATTCTTAACACATCAACATCATCCATCTTTGTTTTTTTCACTTCATTCTTTTACTAAGCCTTACTTATTGTCTTCTTTTTCTTTCTTTTCTCTTTCTTTCTCTTCTCTCTCTCTCATTCAGTGACAATCTCACCACTCAATTGAAAAAGTCCAACAAAACATCAACAAAACATCAACATAAATATCAAACTTGTGCTTGTCATCATTACTTTTTTTACTTTAATTTTTCTCTCTCTCCTGTGGACCTAATTTTCACACCAACCTACAAACTACAATTCTGATCACTTAATTTACCTTTGGTTGTTTTCATTTCCATCAATTGTCCGGGGACGTTGCGGATGATTACTGTCCTTGCTGTCAACTCAATTATCACCATAATCAGGTAAATCAAGAGCATATCTGTGACTCTATTACTGTAATCTGATTGTTTTATGTATCTATCACTTTTCATCATCATCATCATCATCTCTCTCTCTCTCTCTCTCTCTCTCTCTCAGTTTATCATCTTTTTTCTTTCAGTTTACATTTACTATTTACTGCTTCAATATGATGATAGTTTTATTCGTTAATATTGATTGGTTATTTTTTCTTTCTCTATTTAAATATCCTCATAAAAACTAAAATTTTTCTACCCCTTTTCATTTGTATCTTACAGTTTGTGACCTGTGATAAAGTTATTTGAGAGTCAAAGGTGATACTTTTCGTTGACATTGACCGAGAGAGTGGGAAAAGTAAACGGAGTCCAAAAAATTGTCCATTTTGAGATCTTAATATTTTGTTATTAATCTACAAACTGATTTGGTGATAAACCAGAATCATGTCTCATTTATCACCCAACGGAACAAATCAATGTCGTGTTATTTATGATTTCCAGGCTCAACCAGGAACCGGAGAATTGGATATTTATGCAAATGAGGTATTGACCGTTTTACGTCAAGATGTTGGTGAAGGCTGGTGGGAAGGGTGTAACAGTCGTGGTGAACAGGGTCTATTTCCTGCTGGTTATGTTGAATTAATCCAATCAACTGCTAATTCAACGAGTAATGATTTTTTCTCCTCTGTTACATCTCCCACCTTAACATCTTCCTCTGTGCCACCCTCATTTAATCCTCCAGTTCCCAATTTTCCACCTCCAACTGGACCAACCAATGTAACTCAAATACAGGAAAACAATTATGATCAAGGTGATGATTGGGGTGATGAAGATTGGGATGATGATGATAGTCAAGGATCAACGGGTGGAGATACAATCGGAGCTGGTGCTGGTAGTGGTTCAGGTTATACGGGTGGATCTCATCAAGCTCGAGAAAGTACACTTTCTCTTGCAAGCGGTAAATCACAATTACCTGTTAAAAAGAGTATCAATCGTTTCTCTACTTTCGTTAAATCGGGCGGTGAAGATTTTATTCTTGGATCAAAGACTCGAAAGGTTCCTTGTGATGCTTATATTTACATTATCGAAACCTCATCCAATGAGATTATGTGGGCACCCGCTAAATCAGAATATCAATGCACCATTACAGCTCCGAAAAAGGAATCAAAGTTAAAAGGCCTTAAAACATATACCGCTTATAAATTGACTCCAAGTTTTAACAATATTATGGTTAGTCGGCGATATAAACATTTCGATTGGCTTTATGGTTGTTTAACCGATAAATTCATGGCCATTCCGATTCCTTGGTTACCCGCTAAACAGATCTCTGGACGATTTTCCGAGGAATTTATTGAACATCGTAAAATTCAATTACAAATGTGGGTTAATCGTATTTGTCGACATCCAGTGATATCTCAATGTGATGTTTGGATGCATTTTATCACTTGTACGGATGATAAAAAACGCTGGAAAACGGGCAAAAGACGTGCAGAGAAGGATGAATTCACGGGCGGATCATTTTTCTACACTCTTCAACCTCCTTCGGTTCCTTTGGAAGTGACCTTTGTCGAATCGCGAACCGAATCATTTGGAAAATTCATCAAAAAAATGGATGACTCAATACAATTCATGTCAGCGGTTGTTGATGATCAATGTCGAAAATATTCTGGCGCTTATAAGAAAGAGATGCAAAAAATCAGTACAGCTTTTAATTCAATTGCATCAGCCTACGATTCAACCGATTACATTGATCATCAATTAAATGAAGCCATTAGAGGGACTGGTGATTCTTTCGATAAAATTGCCAAAATGTACGAAGAACAACCCAAATACGATTTTGAGCCTTTAGCTTACGTTCTTCACGAATACAAAGGTGCACTTTCCGCTTGGCCTGAGATTTTGGACCTAAACAAACAAGCGTTAGGCCGTAAAAAGGATTACATTAAACTACGAGATGAGGGTAAAGCCGAAGACAAAGTGGTCGAATCGGTTTCCCAAAGAGCCGATGTTGTCGCTTATGCCGTTCTGGCGGAAATCAACCACTTCCAGAAAGAACGAGTCTTAGATTCAAAGGAAATGATGAAGAGCTTTGTCAGTGCACAATTAAACTTTTATCAAAGAATCGTAAACGAATTAACTGAAACCTTAAAGATGTTCGATTGAAGGAAAACCATTAAGTGTCCACCATGGAAAAGAATAATTTTATACAACTAATTAGAGAATTAAAATAATATCATCATCATCATTAAGTGAAAGAAAAAGTGCCTCTTTTAATGGATAACAATTAACAAATGATTACTTTTAAAAGCTAAAATTTATTATTATGATTGTAACAATCAAATCTTATCCGATCATCTTTTCACCTTTACCTGCACTTTTGCCTTGAAACAATCACAATTTACACCGATGCACATAAATTTGTATTATTTTACACTTTAATTATTTAACATTTACAATGGATCATCATCAACAATCAAATCAACTTTTCAACAAGAACAACATTGTTTTTATCCTGGTATATAATCAACTGTAAACTAATTAACATCAACAAACAAAATTGAATCAAGTGAAAACAAAAAGAGTCCAACAATCAATTATATGCTCAACAAAACAAATACATTACGATGAAAAGCCCAAGTGAAAATTAATTATAATTATTAATATTTTCCAATCTAATTTAATCATCTTTTTAATTCTCTGTTCCCATTTTCTTGTCATTTTTATGTTCATTGCGATTCCATGAATTTCCCCTTTGTAATTGATTATTTTTTTTAACCATCAACCATTTGAATCCATTAAGAAAAATGAAACTATCCAAAGATATTTACGATTACATATAAACGGATCAACAATCAATTAATTGTAATAACAAATCAACATAAACATGTCCTCATTTTTGTCTTAATTAATTGCGAACAACAAATTAGTCCATTGAAAATCATTCTCACTTTTTTTTTGTCTTAATCATAATCAAATTTTTACCATAAAACAACAAAGTATTTTTAATTTACCTTAATTACTAAATTTCTCATTGATTCTAAATTGAGGTGTTTACCTTAATCAAATTATGGATCGTTATTGTTGAACATAAACTGATCTTCCAATTGGTTAAACTAATCTAACCTTTAATTGTACATATGAAAAGCTTAATTGATATTCAGATTATTGTAAAAGGAGTGATTATAATTGAGAAGATCAGATCAATGTGATCGGATTGAAATGATTTGCTAATTGTGTCATTTGGGGAGTTTAATTAGTATCATTTGATTTTTCCATTGCTTCTTTATTAATGAAAGAGAATCAATATTTTCAATCATTGATAAGAATCAATAATTAGTAATAAAAAGTATAACTCGTTATTGTATTTGATTGGGAATTTTAAATTATTTAGTTGGTAAAAAATAAATTGTGAACAGGATGATTGTCATGTCAACTCTTTTTGTCTCAATTTTTCTGACAAATTGTAATTGAGTTAAATCTTTAACGTTTGATTGTTTCTCTTTTAAAGGTTGTGTGAGTGTTGTTGTTTTTTTTCATGTATACGTGGATTTAGGGGTAACATTAAATGGATCAATTTTCTTTTTTCATGTGGATCATTTTTAGGTGGATTGAGATCAAATCTACGAAAACAGAAAAAAGAATCATTGAGAAATAAGATTGGAACACATTTTTACAAACTTATACAATCGATTGGTAAGAGAGAAGAGAAAGAGAGAAGAGAGAGAGAGAGAGAGAGAGAGATAGAGAAAAAGTTAATGGATTCGAAATGGATTGATGATTACAGAATTGGTAATTTGAACAATTAACTAGGTGATTGTGATTATACATCCTTTAATGGTCTTGATTCTTGTGATTTATCCATGAGAAGTTCTTTCTGTGAAATCTCATAAATCATTTTCTGTCGTATGAATGGAATGTTTCTCTGTGAGATGAAAGGAAGAGAGAGAAAAAAAAATTATGTCAACAAATGAATTCATGTAAATGAGTTAACCAATTTACCTGACTAAAGTTGAAAGGTTTATCCAATGCTAAGCGTTCAGCATATTTACAGGTAAATACGCCACAATCAGAACCATTTTCTTGTTGTGGAATATCTTTGACGATAAGACATTCCCATGTCGAGGTATCGAGTAGGAATTGTTTTTTATCTTTCATTTCGTCTTCTAAATATTGAAGTAATCGAGATAAACATTCACGATTATTACCCGACATTGAATCATAATATTTGATTGTCGAGTCTCGTATTGAAATAGCTGCAAGGGTCCAATGAACAGATAAATGAACGGGTATTAGAATTAGGTCATAAGAAAATAGATCCACCTTTTTTGTCCATCGTTTCAAAGCTTTATGACCTCCTTCAGTTAAACGTTTATAAAAGAAAGTGTTGAAACAATAGACTTTTAAATTTCCATCGGTTTCTCCAATATTGGCACTTCTTTTTTGAATTAACTGGAAGTAAAAGTTGATAACTTCATCGTTAAGCCAACATGTTCCTTTAAGAGTTTCCAAATCTTTAACGCGAACTTCAACTCCATTTTCTTCGACAACTAGTTCTTCTTTGCTTCTAGCGAGACAATCCTCGATTACTTGTAAGGCCTCTTCAGGTAATTCGTCTTCCTCTTCTTCTTCTTCTTCCTCTTCTTCCTCCTCTTCTTCTTCATATTCTTCTTCGGTTTCTTCTTCCTCTTCGGTTTCTTCTTTTTCATCCGAGAAGAATCGATAAAAATATGGTATATATGAGAAATCGGCTTCATGGCACAAAGATTTACTTGTCTCTCGACGAAATTTACGCATAAAACTTTCTCTTTTTTTACCAATTATCCTTAAATAATCTTCCTTTTCTCGGCGAATCTTCTCTGCTTCAAGATGACCATCCTGAATCGCTCTACGCATATCGTTAATCCATTCACGGCTAAATAGTTTCTTCTTCTCCGCTTTTTCAAGTTTAAAATTTTCATAGCTCTTTGGTAAACTGGGTAACTTAAACTCTGGCTCATTTTTAACTGGTTCAGCTTTTTTTACTTCAGTTTCACAGACAACAGCAGGTTGAACTTTACTAGGAATTACTAAATCATAGGAGAAAATTTTCTTGATAGAAGCAAAATTTTTCGATGAAGCTGGAGTAGATTCTTGCGGATGTTTAATAGATGAACTTGAATCCTTTAAGTAGAGAGAATGAAAAAGAAAGAAAAAAAATTGGTTAACAAACAGGCGAACAAATAATTGCAAAAAGAAAATACAAATTAGCATGTTTACTCACATTGATCAAATTATTCGGTGTATTATTCAACTGTGAATTGTCCAAATGTTTAATCTCACTAACACAACTGGTATCACCGAGTAACAGGCCAGGTAGTCCTTTCACATTTTCCACATTTGGATCGCTTTCTCTATCGTCATCAGTCCAGTTTGTGACCGTTTTCAACAAGGCACGATAAGCTTTTTTTTCTCGCTCTCGGAGTAACTTTCTAACTTTACTACTTCTCGCCGGCATTCCCAATGTTTCACCAGCACGTTTTTTACCTTTTGCAGCTTCCCAAGAGGCAGGATAACGAGAAGAGCCTAATTGTTTCATAGTTAACGTTTAACTGTAAACGAAACTTGAAACAAAATAGTTTATAATAGAAAAGTTGTATCAAATAACAAGAAACAACAATTAAAAATTGTAAGAAAAAAAGTCAACAGCTGATGAAAAGCTAATCACAAATGACTGAAGATTGAAACAGCCAATCGGTAAGAGAGAAAAGAAAAGCGCCTAATTTGAAAAAGAAAAATTGAAAAGAAAATCAATCATATGAACAATTGAACAATCATTTAGAAATTAATACTCACTTGATTTTAATTTTTTCGTTTTTACATCTCCCAAAATCAATGATGAATGAAGACAAATAATTAAAAGAATAACAGAGAATTCGAAAAGATGAAAAATTATCTGATACTCTGAGAATTGGAAAGAACTGAAATGAATTTCAATTGATCTTCAATTGTTATGATTGAGACTTTCAGATGTTCACTGGATTTGATTAACTTTGGATCTTTTAATTTGGTTTAAATTGTTAGACCGAGAGATTGTTGATTCGATGGAGAAAATTATTTTGTTCACTTATCAAATTAAAGAATTTCAATGATATTCTGAAAATATAATAGCTCTTTTGTTCCAACTGATTTGATAATTTTCTATAGAGATGTAATTATGTACAAAGGAAAATGTTTTCATGATGGAAATGAACAATTCTGTTGATGGAAAGAAACTCTTATGAATGGAAAAAGAAGCCACCAGATGTCACTAGTTTTCGAATTTTTGTCGAGTAACGAGAGAAAATTCACTAGATGGCGATGCGAGTCAAAGAGAAATTTTTGTTTACAACTTTTTTCTCTTCTCTTCGTTTTCCTGTTTTATCTCTCTCTCTCTCTCTCTCTCCTTTTCTCATCATCATCCTCATCATTATTATTATCATCATTCTACTCATTCTCCTTCATACTATTCAATTCTCTTGCTCATTCTATTCTCCCTCATGCTCTCTCTCATTTTCTCTCTCATTCTCTCTCTAATTCTCTCTCAGCTATTTTCTCTTCTCCCTCAAACTTATTTTTCTTCATCTCTCACCTTGATACTCCTCCTCGTCTTCTCTCTTTCTCTCTCTTTCTCCCTTTTTCTCTTCATTCTCTCTCCCGCTTTCTTTCTTTTTCTTTCTCTCTTTTCCCTCTCTTTCTTTCTTTTTTTCTTTATCTTTCAATTTCTCTGTCTTCTTTTCTGTCTACTCTCTTTTTCCTTTTTCTCATCTATAGCTTGAATTGTATGTTTGTGTATGTGTTTATCATCGACTAGTTTTTCCAAGCTTTATTGATTGAGAGAATGTTTTCCAACCATAAGAGAGAAAAAGAGGGAGAAAAACGACAGAGAGGGAAACAGAAAAGCGAAAGAGACCCAAAGAAAGAGGAGAAAGAAAAAGAGTACACATTGAAGAAAGTGAGAAGCTTTAGAAAGATACATAGAGATATTAGAGAAAAAGAGACAGAGGAAAAAGAAAGAGATGAGAAAAAAGAAGAGGGAAAAGAAAAACAGAAAGAAGAGATTAAGAGAGAAAAAGCAAAAGAGAGACCAAGTCATTTATGTGTAATTCTCATCATCTCTTGTTCTCTCCTGGTTATTCTCAGGCCAACAGTCAATCTTTCAGTTCTTTTCTCTTTTTCTCTCTGTGTATCTTTCCAAATCTCTTCTTTCTTCCTTCAATTTACCATTTTATCTTTTTCTCTTCAAGTTATTTCTGTTTCCCTCTTTTTTTTCCATTTTCTCTCTTTCTCTCATTGACTCTTTCAACTCGCTCTTCTCATCTCTTCATCTCTCTCTCTCTCTCTTCCCTTTACTCTTTCTCTCCTTTGTCTTTATCTTTGTTGTCAATCGTCATTAAACGTTGTTAGTTTATTAAAATATTCTTTATTCAGATAATTACTACAACTGGATGATATCAATGAGAAAGGGAATCAACAAAAATGAAATAATTTAATTGAGAAGAGAAAAAAATTGCGAGATTAATTTGTTATTTTATTATTTTGTACACTGAAAATTTTGGTTTTTTTTATCCTCATCAATGAATCATCATCATTATCATTATGATATTGATTGTTATTGTTGCTGTTGTTATTTTTTGCTCAAATATTTTACACGGTGGCAACTATGATGAGAAGATGAGCAATCTCCGAGATGCTGTGAAACAAATCTGGTGCAATCCGAGCAAGATTTTCATTTGAAAAGTCACATGAAGGAAATATATGGATAACATAGGCAGCCTAAAAGTAGAGAAAAAGAAAGAAAGATGATGAGAAATGAGTAAAGATGATGTAGGTATAGAAAGAAGTAATAGAGAAACAAGATGCAGAGGAAAAGAAGGAGAAGAAGAAGAAGCAGAAATAGAAGGAGAAATGGAAACAGTAGAAATAAGTTAAAGAAGAAAAAGAGAAGAAGAAGAAGAAAAAAGGAAGAAGGAGATGGAAAAGAAGGAGATGAAGCAAAAAGAAGAAGCAAAAGAAGAGGAAGTAGAAAGAAGAAGATGATAGCAAGAAAAAAAAGAAGCAGAACAAGAAGAACAAGAAGAAGAGGCAAAAAAGAAGATGAGTTTTTAAGATGAAAAAAAGATGAAGATGGTGAGGATGAAGAAGACGTGTAAGAAAGACGATAATGATGAAAAAAGACAAATACTGTACCTGCTGAGATCCTGGTGCATTTGAGTTGACTATACCTGCTGCTTGTTTACTTTGAAGGTAATTGATGAAACCATTTCGTAAGTTATTTGATTGAAGAAGAATGTCCATGTGATCACGACCAGTGGGTAAAGCTAAAAGAATAGCATGTTCATCTTGCATCTAAAGAATGAGAGAAAAAATAATATGAGAATTACTGAATGATGAAAACTAAAAATAAAAGAGTCTAAAAGATTGCATTGAAAAGAATCAGAGAGAGAGAGAGAGAGAGAGAGAGAGAGAGAGAGAGAGAGAGAGAATGAGAGAGAAAAGGAAACCTTTCTCTCTATAAAATAATTTTTCTGTTCTGTGAAGGGAGTGTCTTTTGCCTGTTTTTTTCAACTCAACTTTACTCAGCTATAACTACTACTATTATTATTACTATTATCATTATTATTACTCTCATGTATTATTATTGCTATTACTGGTACTATTAATACCATTATTGCCATTAGTTTGTTAGTATTATCTATGGAATAGGAATTATGCGTTTTTTGAGGCATAAACAATCAGAAGAATAGGTTAACTTACCTGTAGTTTACGAGCAACTACTTCTAATTGCGATTGTTCTAATCTCATCCGTTGGGCTATTCGAATCGGTGGTGCTCCACCTTCTCCCATTATTGGTGGTAACGATGAGTTGGCAACTCTATGGTTACCTGAAACAAAGTGCATTTGAACTGCTGCTTGGTCGTTTTTAAGTGCTAACAATCCCTGCCAGAGAACAGGGTAACGTGATAGTAATTGGTATTCATGGGGTGGCACTTGACTTGCATGAGGTGGTGTTTGTGGATGTGATTGTGGATGAAGTGGACTTGGTTGTGACATTGCATGGGCTGGAGGTGGCCCGTAAGGCAGTGGAGGTGGAAGTGGTTTCTCATCAGTAATTAGTGAAAGAGGGAATCCAGGTGGATATGGTAATCGGTGTGGTATTCCCATCGCAGCAACAGCTCTTGCTGTCATTTCATTTTGAGCTCTCATTTGAATTTGTTGTGAGTAATGAGGATGATTAGCAAACATCATTTGTTGATGTCGTAAGTACTCAGATGGGTGAAGTGCAAGATGCGGTGGTACAATCATGTGAGGAGGAGGTTGACTTGAGGGGCGCAGATATGGACCTGGTGAAGCGGAAGCAGCGGCGACTAAATTACGCATTACCGGTGGCATTGAAGGAATGTACATAATGTCAACATTATCGGACATTGGAATATTAGGAGATAATGTAGATGAAGCAGATGTGGGGGACGGTTGTTGTTGTTTCGCTTGTTGTTGTTGGTGATGTTGTTGAATCGAAATGTTTGGAGGTAAAATTGAAGGGGCTGTGGGTGTAGATGATTGTCTTTGTTGTTGATGTAATTGTTGTTGCTGTAAATGTTGCTGATGTGGATGTTGATGAGATAAAGGTGGTTGTTGCTGATGTGGCTGGTGAGGTTGTTGTTGTTGCTGTTGTTGTTGTTGTTGATGCTTTTGTGCTTGCTGATGATGTTGCATTAATAATAACTGTTGTTGATGTTGCTCATTAAGATAAGGAGAAGGTGCTGGTGCGGGAGATGATTCAGTTTTTCTTTCAATGATTTTACCAAAAGGTAATTTGGACAATTCAACGTTAGGAACAAGTGATATATTCGGTGACAACATTGGTGGAGGAGGTACTGGTGTAGATGATTGTTGGTGGTGATGTTGATGTTGTTTCATCTGTTGGTGATGCATCGAGACATTTGTTGGTAATAATGAGTTTGGTGTCACCGACTGTGGATGTTGTTGATGTTGGTGTTGTTGTAGTAAATGTGCTTGTTTTTGGTGCTGAAGTTGTTGCTGATGCTGTTGTTGATGGTGTTGTTGCAACAATATTTGTTGATGGTGATGTTCATTAAGGTAAGCAGCGGTTGCTGCTGATTCTGATTTTCTATCAAATAATTTACCAAATGGTACCTTTGACATTTCGATATTAGGTACAAGAGAAACATTTGTAACCGAAGAGTTTGATGGAGGTCGAGATGTTGGTTGTTGTTGTTGCAACTGTTTGGGTTGATAGTGTTGTTGTTGTTGTTGTTGTTGTTGTTGTTGTTCAGCCAGGAATGACAAAGACACTGGTTCTGGTTTTCTTTCAGTAATTTTGCCAAGTGGAGGTACTTTTGGCATTTCAACATTGTCCCCAAGTGAAACATTGGCACCAGACAATACATTTGTATTTGATGCTGAAGGTTGTTGTTGTTGTTGTTGGAATTGATGCTGATGATGAGAGTTTGGGTGTGGATGTTGTTGAGGTTGTGCTTGTTGCTTTTGTTGTTGAGCTTGATGTTGATCAATGGGTTGAGATACAATAGTTGTTGTTTTTGTATCTGGTTTTCTATCGAAGATTTTACTGAATGGTAATCGTGTAGTTTCAACCTTCTCTACGAGAGTGATATTCGTAGGTAATGCTGGAACTGAGGGTGTTGGCGGTTGGGGTAGTTGCTGAGGTGGAAGATGTGCTGGTACTTGAGTTGATTGTTGAGGCTGTGGAGTGACTTGTTCTGGTTGTTTTGACTGTAAACTGATATGAGTTGCTGTTTTCACTGATGATTCAGGTTTTCTGTCAATAATTTTAGCGAATGGATGTAATTTTGGTATATCATTATCATCGTCACATTTAATATTTGCTGGTTCAGTAGATGATGATTGTTGTAGTGCTTGATTTTGTAATTGAGCTTGCACACTTGGTACTGGCGCTGGAGCAACTGATATCGTCGTTTGAGATAAAGGTTGAGGCTGAGGTTGAATTTGAGGTTGAGTCTGTGGTTGAGTAACAGACGGAAGAGGTTGAAGTTGAGGTTGAGGTTGAGGTTGAGGAGCAGATTGTTGTGGTTGAGGCTGCGGTTCTGGTAGATTCTGAGGTTGCGCCTGTAACTGTGGTTGAGGTTGTTCTTGTTTTACCTTCAGCTCATTTTGATTTGTCGATATTGTTACTGTGGTTGTCGTCGTAGGTGCTGAAGTGACCGTTGCTGTAACTGTTGTTGTCGTAGATGTTTCAGTTTTCCTTTCAATGATTCTACTAAATGACGACATTTTGGGTAATTCCACTTTAAGTACAGGTAAAGTTGGACGTTTTTGATTACCTTCGATGTTTGTTTCTTTACCAGAACTCACAGAACAAGTTGTTTCAGATTCTGTTGTCGTAGTAGTAGAACTACCTCCTTTAGCAACAGATCTGGTAATTCGTAAAGTGCGAATAGCGTTTTTAGAATCACCTTTACCTTCACTATCGACTGAATCATTCTTGGAATCAGTGAATGAATCTTCCTCTTCTTCATGAATTTCATCAGCTTTCTTACTCAAACGTGTTGATCGCTTGAAAGATTTACTTAACTCAAATTTGTAAGAGCCAACGCCCTTGACAACATCCTCAATAACCTCATCGACAGTTGTTTTATTGGCTTGAGACATAAGTCGAGCTGATTTGCGGGTTGGTTTTACCGCCGAACTAGATGTTGCTGTGGTTGGCGCATTCGATGTACCAGCTGTTGATCCTTGTACATTGGATGATGTTGATAATTGTGCAACACTCGAAGAGGTTGATTGATTCGTGGCATTAGAACCACTGTTTTCATTGATGTTTCCGGAAACACTGGTACATGTAGTCTCATCTTTATCATCTTTAAATTTCTCTTCATCTGCTTGCAAAGCTTTACTTGATTTGACAACTTCAGCTGTAGTAGCTGAACCATCTTTGCCATCTTGCCCTTCTTTCGGGTGCAATCGAATAGTAATTGAAAGTTTACCGTGCTGACTAAGTTCGGTAACATATTCTTTACCGCTTGTCGATTCATTAACATGATCACTTTTACTTGACGATGATGTTATTAATGGTGGTGGTGTTGGTAATATTGATGATGTTGAACAAGTTGTTTCATCAGATTTTTTCTCAATTGACTCATTATGATGATGAGATGAGTTGGAAGATAATGAAGAAGATGAATGAGTTGAGTGATGCAGTGAATGTTGATTCGCACTAAATTGATGACTTGATGATTGTAATGATGTTGATTGAATTACACTTGATATTGCAGAGATTGATGAATTTGGCGGTTGAACTTGAGAATGATGATGGACATGGTGTTGAGATGATGCCGTTGTCGATTGTGGCGGGTGGGGATGTGGTTGTGCTTTGTGGTCGACAATTTTAGACTGAGAAGAGGAATGCATTGATTCAAGTGGAAGACTTGGTGGACCTTCTTCATCAGAATCACGAAACTCGAAAACATCATAAGGTGACAACGATTTTCGAGGTTCATTTGGAAGGGTTAAAGGTTTTTCAGCTGAAACATTGGACAGAGAAAGGAAAATTCTTTCCTTGTGTTTGGATGGAATGTCTACTTCGTAAGGTTTAGATGACGAACCTTCATTACCAGAAACCTTTTTCCTTCTTCCTCTCTTTTTACGTGATTCTGATTTATCCTGAGAACTGGTATCATGATGGATGTGTGACTCATTCATTGAATGTTTAGTGAAATAGATACTCGGCTCTTCATCAGACATGTAATTTGATTCATTGTCGTTAGCGTGTTGATCATCAGAATTAAATTCATTCCCATGAAAGGAACCACGAAGATGCCTTTTAGGACGCTCAGAAACGGGAGATTTACCATTCTTATGTGATTCACTGGAATGAGTATCACTACAGCCCAATTCATAACGAGGTAGTTGTAAAGATGATTCTGAATATTTTCGAGTTTTAGCTCGCCTCCCTCGTCGTGGTCTTTCAACACCTTTACCTCGTTCATCAAATTCATCATCATGTCTACTGTTATCATCTCTTGAAAGTTCATCTTTGCTTTCTTCTCCTCCAGATCGTAAAATTGATTCTTTTGCAAGGTCAATTTTAATGTTAGGAAGATGTGAACTTGAATCACTGGCTGGACGAAATTGACCTTTAGATACACTGAATATCAAAGGTTTAGATTCATTCTCAGAGTCTGCTTCATTTTCTGATTCAATTTCTTGTTTAGATGATTTATAATCAACAAAACTGGAGTTGATCTTCAAATCAGGTTTATCCAAATCAAAAGACTCGGATGATCTCTTGCTTTTATCAATTATCAAAGCTTTATTATCAGCTAATATTGTTGACGTATTATCTTCATCTTCCTCCTCTTCTTCTTCCAAAGATTCTCTCTTACTATCAATATCATTAACTTGAGGTAAATCGTCATCAAACAATTCAGTTTTCTCAGAACTATCTGAGCTCGTATCAGGCTGTTGTTTCTTATTACTTGAATCTGCAAGTAAATCAATTATACTTTCATTGATTAACTTAGATGTTTTATTTGATTCATTTGCATCCAAACTATCATCAGAAGCAGGTTCATCAAAAACAGGTCGACTACAACTGTCTTCATCATTTTCACCAGTTAAACTGAAATCATCTTCACGATTATGATGACTGATAATTTGACGATGTTCACTACTCCTTTCATGTTCGGCCACTTGTTTCGACTTTTCTTCATTGATTTTATCCGATAATGATTCTCCTGTTTCACTTTGATGAAATGGTGAATCTGATGTTGATGGTATTTTATCAACTAAAGGTGTTTCATCAATGATCAATTTCTCATTACCTTCTTCGCCATCATCAAAGCAACCATCATTTTCACTGGTATTCAAATCAATATGACTTGAATCCAAATATAAATTGGATGATAATGATGTTTCACTTGGTCGCCTATCTTGCTTATTTGCACCAGTCCCAAGACTAATAGGTTCCTTAATAGGACTTTCCTTACCAATGATACCAGAAACATCATTTTCTCTTTTCTTTTCTGAAAACAGAGTTGACTCTATATTCTTGTCATCAGATTTGGTGGAGCTTCTTCTTCTTGATACAATTGATGTAGATGATGATGATGATGATGATGGTGATGGTGTTGTTGTTGTTGTTGTTGTAGTTGTTGAAGAGAAAGATGATGATAATGATACAGATGCTGCTGCTGTTGGAATAGGAGCGGATGTCACTGGAGTTACAGTTATTGTTGGTTTTAATGACGATGATGGTGTAATGGATGTTACTGGAGTCGATGTTGGTATTGTCGTTAAAATTGGCTGAACTGAGGTTGTTTTTACAATTGATGATGATAATGTTGATGATGTAGGAGTTGCTTTTAAATCTTCAGAATATTTCTTTTTATCTTCACTGATGCTGTTGTTGTCATCTTCCAAAATGGAGATTCTACGACTTGAGGTAACGGTAGTTGTAGTAACAGGGGTGAAAGAAGATGTAACAGAGGTTGATAATGTTGATAATGTTGTCGAAACTGTTCCAATAGCAACAGTATCAGAAATAATATCGACAGTTTTTCTCTTATTAAGATCAACATTACTCGGTGTTTCAGTCTCTGATGACGATGATGATGATGAAGAAGGCGAAGAAGATGAAAGTGTAGGTGATGGGAACTTTGTACTTTTTTCGACATTTTTGATGGACTCTTTCTCCTCTCTGGAATGACAAATTGTGGATGCAGAATTGATAATGGGACTAGATGTGTGAATAGAGTTACTATTAGATTTAATAGCATTAATTTTAGAGGCTCCAGTTGATGGTTTATTTGATGAAGAAGGCAAAGGTATAAATGATCTGTTATTACTATTACTTTTACTTGGAATGGTGTTGTTATTATTAGAATTGCTTCTTGTTGGTGAAACGATACTTTTAATAGCAGCAACATTTTCAGATGATTCATCTGATTTACTAATTGCACTTTCTTCAGGTTCTTCGGCGATTTGTAATGGAGCCTCTTCATCAGCCACCATATAGCCCATATCATTTTCTGGTCCAGAAGGTGATACAATACGTTCAATGTATTGTTCAGGTTCCTTTGTAAGTTCAGGTATTGTTTCAACATTCATTTCTTGAAGAAGAGCTGAAACTGCCAAATCATCTTCAATTTTTCTTTGATCATCAATTTCACATTCTTTGACATCGTCAACCTTGAATGGATCAACATTCAAAATGGATGGATGGTGAAGGTGGTGTGGAAATGATACTTTACTCTCAGGCCCACTTGGAATGGCACCAAATATGTTAGATTCAAGAATTCGTCTTTTCTCCTCTTCCATAACTGGTTTAGAGAGTTCATCATCTTTCTCAGAACATGAAACAATAAGCTCATCGAAAAGTCCTTTAGGTTCTTTGAAATGATTCCAGCTTTCATCTGATTTCAATTCTTCCACTAGTCTTTGGGTTTCAATGGCGGCCTCCTCTTCAAATCTCCTCTCCCTAATTATGTTCTCTTCTTTAGTCAAGGCGGAGGGACCAGAGGAACCAGAGGAACCAGAGGAACCAGAGGAGCCAGAGGCTACTTTCAAACTGGAAGAGCTTGAATTGTGACTTGAATGTTGACTAGTGATGAAATCACGGTTATGATGTTTATCTAGACGATGATCATCCATTTTCTCTTCCTTTACCTTAACCTCTAATGAACAATCTTTATTCGATTTCTTATGTTTATTACTAATTGAATGAGAAGAAGAACCACTGACAACATCTTTCTTGTGTTTCTTGTGTTTTTTATGCTTCTTATGTTTCTTGTGCTTCTTTGGTATCTTTGTTTTAGCGTTTTCTGCATCTGAACTATCGTCCGTCAATTTATGAGACTTAGATTTATTATGTCGAGGTGAAGTCATTGAGACCTCTTCATCACTATCACTTGAATAAATCTGCTCTTTGTTTTTCTTAGACGATGCAGCGTTTTTCATTGCTGAGGCTAATAAAGCCTCGAAGTCAAACTCGGAATCAGAATCAGAGTCAAGTGATTTAATTGGAGAACTTTTCTTACTTTTCTTAGGAATCTTTGCAGAAGAGCCACTAGACATTGTCGTTGACGTAGTCGATGATGATGATGTTGTTGTTGCTGTTGCTGCTGTTGTTGCTGGAGTTGTTGTTGTTGTTGTTGCAGGCATCGTTGTTGTAATGATATTTGATGTAGTTTCATCTTCTTTATCTTCATCATTATCTGATGAAGAAGGTGAACTCTCAATAACCAATTTTCTTTTCTTTTCACCAACACTTGATTTAGATTTTGCACATTTTAACGAAGAAGACGCTGATGTTGATGCTGTCGTTGTAGATAATGTTGTTGTTGTTGATGATGATGTTGATGTTGATGCTGATGATGCCACTATTGCTCCTGTCGATGTTGATGATGATGTTGCTGTTGTTAATCCGTCTGTCACTGCTGATGATGATAAAGATACTGATGTTCTTTGACCGATAATATCCAATGCTGGTCTTTCACTACCACTAATAATTCCACCTCTAGAATCAGAATCTGAGTCGAGTGATTTAATCGGAGCACTTTTCTTACGTTTCTTGGGGATCTTTGAAGAAATACCACTAGATGTTATTGATGATGATGTTAACATGCTTGATGGAGCTTCATCTTCTCTATCATCATCATTATCTGATGATGAAGCTGAGCTTTCAATAATCAATTTTCTTTTCTTTTCACTAATACTTGATTTGGATTTTAAACGATTCAATGAAGAAGACATTGATGCAGTTGCAGATAAAGATGATGAGGTTGTTTTTGATGACGGTATTGCTGCTGCATTCGGTGTTGGTGTTAAGTTTGATGTTGATGTTGATGTTGCTGTTAATCCATCAGTGATCGTTGATGCTGATAAAGACGTTGATGAAGAAGATGATGTTCTTTGACTCATAATATCCATTGCTAATCTTTCGTTACCACTAACAGAACCACCTTCAGCATCAGAATCTGATGTATCCGATTCTGAATCAGTATTACGATTACCTCGATCCTTTTTAACTCTACTTTGCTTTAACACATTGAATTTCTGCCTCATGGCGTCCATATCTTTATTTGCTTCCTTCAAACTTTGATTATGACTTGAACGAGCTTTCACCTTATCATACATTGAGAAATAAATCGGCTCATCATCGGTTATTCCCAATTTCTTCATTACAGATCGATGTCGGGCAAGTTGCTTCTTCTCTTCCCTCTCAGCCATTTCATGATCTCTCTCCTCTTGTGTCTTTCTCTCTTTACCACTTTCTTTATCTTTATCCTTATCCTTATCCTTATCTTTCTCTTTCTCTTTGTCCTTTGATCCTTTTCCTTCTTTATCAACTGATTTACCACTTTTGTCTCGCTTTTTATCCTTGTCTTTCTCTTTTTTAATACCACTCTTTTCCTTTGATTTCTCCTTTCCTTCGATACCACTTCGTTTCTCTGAATGAAGTAATTGTGTCCCTGAAGTAGACGATGATGATTGAGACTTTAATTTAACCCTTTCCTTATTAACAGATGGATCAGATCCCTTGTGGATTTTACCTTCTTTTTTCAATTTCTTCTCCTCTTTACTAGATTTACCAGGAATGTCTCCAATAGACCGAACTTTCTCATTCAACTTGCTCAAACCAATATTATCTCCTCCACTACTGTGAGAAATTTTCCTTTCTTTTTCATGTTTCTTTGTTGGTGATTGTAGACTGTTTAAATTGGATGAGCCCATTTTACCAGATTCTTTTACTTCACATTTCTCCTCCTTTATGTGTGTTTTGATTTTATCACCTTTTCGTGAGCTGTTGTTACTAAGCTCATGACTGGAAGACAAATGATTGTCTGAATCTTGGTCCACATCATCACTAGACGAGAGTCTATTATAAGAAGTATTGGTTAATGTTTCCTTTTTGAGATCACTTCGATTAAGAGCCTTAGGACCATTATTTAACGAAGATTGCGAATGGTTGTGGTTCTCTTTTGAACGTTTATTTAGTGAGCTGACTGTTGTTTCCAAATGATTATGAGACAAATTATTCACATAAGATGATGTGTAACTAGCTGAGATTGATGTGGATGTGAGACCACTGAGCATATCTTTTCTTTGGTTTGATGAGGCGGTAATTTCTTTCTTAATGCTACTGCATTGACGGGGATCAGATGAAGCTGATAATCGGCGCACATCATTTTTACTACTGCTCATATTATTTAATACGATGTTATCCTTTTTAACCGTACTAGATGAAACAGTTGATAAACCAGATAAATTACTGGTTGAGCAGGATGATGTCCTATTAAGAAGATTAGGAACAGCAGATGATGATGATGATGATGATCCCGAGGAGGATAATGAGGATACCGCCGACGCAGTCAAGGATAAGCCTGATGATGTACTTGTTGAAGATGAGATTGAGCCAAGACGAGAAGAGGTTGGTGTAAGATTTGAGCAGGTCAATGAAGAGGCGGTTGAGGCTTTAGTTGTTGCTGTTGATGTAATTGTTGTTATTGTTGAACTAGATGAGATTGAGGTTGTAAAGGGTGAGAATGAGCTACATCGTGCTGGAGCTGATTGAGGAGTACTTGGTGTTGTTGGTGTGCTGTTTCCTGGTTTCTTACTGTCACCTGAAAGTTTTCCTGGTTCTGATAGTTTACGAGTAAACAGAGGTGGTGGATGATGGTGATGTACTTTAGTGTCAGAGTGAAAATGAGTTGATGAAGTTTGATGATGGACCTTTGACTCGATAGACGAGCTCGTCAATAATTTATCATCAGTCAGAGAATTTGAAAATTTGTGGGTTTTACCTTCTTTTTTCAATTTCTTTTCCTCTTTGATAGATTTAACAGGAATGTCTCCAATAGATCGAACTTTATCATTTAATTTACTTAAACCAATATCTCCACCACTGTTATGAGAATTTTTCTTTTCTTTATCATGTTTCTTTGTCGGAGACTGTAAATTACTACTAGTATTTTGATTGGACAAAGATGAAGCCGAACCAAAGAACGAGGAACCCATTTTAACAGATTCTTTTACTTCACATTTCTCCTCCTTTATGTGTGTTTTGATTTTATCACCTTTCCGTGAGCTGTTGTTACTAAGCTCATGACTGGAAGACAAATGATTGTCTGGATCTTGGTCCACATCATCACTAGATGAGAGCCTATTATAAGCAGTATTGGCTAATGTTTCCTTTTTGAGATCACTTCTGTTCACAGGTTTAGGACCATTATTTAACGAAGATTGCGAATGGTTATGATGTTGAATTGAACGTTTGTTAATTGAGCTGACTGTTGTTTCCAAATGATTATGAGACAAATTATTCACATAAGATGATGTGTAACTAGCTGAGATTGATGTGGATGTGAGACCACTGAGCATATCTTTTCTTTGGTTTGATGAGGCGGTAATTTCTTTCTTTATGCTACTGCATTGACGGGGATCAGATGAAGCTGATAATCGGCGCACATCATTTTTACTACTGCTCATATTATTTAATACGATATTATCCTTTTTAACTGTAGTTGATAAAACAGTTGATAAACCAGACAAATTGCTGGTCGAACAGGATGATGTCCTATTAAGAAGATTAGGAACAACAGATGATAATGACGATAATTTATCACCAATGAGGGGAGTTGAAAACTCTTTGGCAGCTGCTTTGGTACGAAACACTGGTTTCAATGATGAACCAGAATCACCAGAAAGAGATACAGTTGACGTTGTCTCTTTAGGCTCATATTTCTCATTAATATGCTCCAAACGTTTAGAATCTTGGTCGAAAATACTTGACTTAGAGAGAAGTGAACGAACGATGTCGGAAGGCTCAGTTCGTTGGGAGTTGAGAGAAGAAGATAAATTAACATGACTTTTCTTAATTATGTTGTATTTACTGTAATCCACAGTAGGGGTTGATGAAAAGGATGATCCATCAATCGCTGAACTTTTAGTTACTGAACTTGAGGAACCAGATCCTGTTCCAGCTCCACCACTCCAAGAGATGTATTTTTCATCAAGAGCTTTAATCCGATCTTCAATTGACATTTTTGTTGGAGATGTTAAACCTGGTGAACTTGAAGTTAACTTAGAGCTGTTTCCCGTCGTTGACAAGGTCAAACTTTCCGTTGTATCGGCTGACCCACTACCGGAAAGTAAGATATCTTTAACATTATCCTTAAAACTAATTGGATTTGACTTTGTACTTGCAGAGGTATTAGTGTTAGAATATAATTTATCAATTTGGTTGTTATATGTGGTATCACCGGGCGTAGAAGAGGTTAAATTGGAAGATAACAATGTAGATGATAAAGACGAAGAGGATAACGAACAAGATGTTGTAGTTGTTGTTGACGTAGTGGTGGAAATGGTCGAGGAAAAGGAGGAGAATGAGGAAAAAGAGGAAGTTGTTGTAGGAGTAGTTACATTAGAATCGGTTTTAGACTCGGTACTTTTAGTACGAAGTCTTTTTGGCACTTGAATACTACTTGGTGATAAGTTACTCAATGGAGACATAATTGAGTTCCCTTTGGGAGAACTGTGGGGCACTTGTGGTGGCTGAGAGGAATCTTTTGACTGAATTGAAAAAGAAGATGATAAAGATGAAAGCGGTGGTTGTGATGAGGATTGTTGATGAGCGAGAGAAGAACCCGAGGTAGATAAATTTCTATGTGATGAAGAGCTTGAGTGATGATGAGATGAGGATTTATTTGATGACCTGAGAGAAGCTGCAAACTCAGGTAAAGGTAATGATAAAGGTAAATTTGAGGAAGTATTTGTAGTTGTTGCACCATTATCTTGTACATTTAGGCCACTCGATTGAAATGACCTTAAGGAATTATTATTATTATTATTATTAACAATATTGGTACTACTGTTGTTACTGTTGGTTAAAGAACTACGTTTACTTGAGCCGATGGTACATCCAACCTTATCACTCGATGATGATACCTCATTGGAATTGTAATCATCAAAACGAGGAGTTGTACTATGGACATCTTGTTGACTATTTACAGATGATAATAATCCCATGGTGTCGGTTGAAGAGACCCGAGTTGAAAGTGTAGAGAGAAGAGTATTGGTATCGATAGTGGTAGCATTTAAATCACATGAATCACTTGATCTCGAACGATTTTTATTATTTGAATGGTGGTGACTGATATTGATTTGGTTTCCAGTAGCTGTTGCTGTTGCTGTTGTTAACGTTGTAGACGAAGAATAATCATCTAATGATTTTATTGATTCCAAAGAGGATGGACCGGATGATGAGATGTTGGATGATGGATTGGTCACAGATGAAGTAAGGTTATCACTTATAACACAAAGATTACTACTATTACTATTAACATTATTACCTGTGGATGTTGGTGTTGATGAAGTGGGAGCCTCACTTGATGAGAAGGAATTTAAATGATGATGGACTGAAGATGATGTTAATTGACGACGAGGATCGGTTAAACTTCGATTTATCACTGAAGATGTTGCATCAACTGTTTTCAATGGGATTGCACTGGTTTCTTTAGCACCATGAACACCTATTCCGGTTTTAGATTTAACACTGCCGGATGATGATGAAGAGGAAAAAGATTTATTTCTTCGCGAAAGTTTCTCGAAGAATGAATTTTGACATTCACGAGAAGCGAAATCAACCTGAAGACGTCTACCATTAAATAAACGACCTTTCAGATCAGTCACAGCTACTTGAGCAGAGTCCACTGAATCATAACACACAAGACACTTTCCCCTCTCCCGATCCACATTTATTGAAACAACATTACCAAAACGTGAACACTGACGATTCAAACACTTATCTGATGTAGATTCTGATATACCATGAAGCCAAACACAATTGGTGGGCATTGATTTACCAAAGCCCAATTTAATCCGGTTGGCACCAAGGTTTTCACCATCCAGTTTCCTCATACCCTTAACTACACTGGATATATCGGAATACTGAATGAAAGCGTAGGTTGAGGTTCCCTGTTTTTTAATATCCACCTCAATTATTTCACCAAATAATTCAAAATGAGATCTTAATTCTTGTGTGGTTATATCTTTCTCTAAATTACCAACAAATAGGGTACGAGTTGCTTTTGGATGGTATTCATCTAATTCAGCTTCCAATGGACGAAAATCATTATCTTCAGCATCTATTCCTTCATGAGGTGTAACTTCAATCTTGCATCCAAAGAACAATTTATTCTAGTATAGTAGAAGTTTCAATTAGAGTAAATAAAATAAAATAAATCAAAATTTTAGTTTGTATGTGCATGATTATTAGTGTGTGTTGTTTTTAGTAGGGAGAGATGGTTGGTTGGTTGATAGTTGCGTTGTTGTTGGTGTTGGTTGGTTGATTGTTTAATTGTTGATTGTTGATGTTTTTGTTTTGTGAATTGTTTGTGTGTGTGTGTGTTTATAATAATCAAGAATAGTAATAGTTGAGTTGAGTTAAAGTTGGAGAGAAAAAAGCAGCAGTTGAAGAAAATAAAAAAAAAAGAAGAACGAAAGAAATGGCAGAAGGGAAATAAAGGGAAAAAAGAAAGAGAAAAAAACCAGGCATGAAAAGTCGATCAATGCTGTTAAGCAAAGGGAGTGGGAAGTTTCCAGGAGAGAGTAAGTGATGAAAAAGAAAGGCACAAAATGGCTTGTTTCTTTTCCTTGCTTATTCTCTCTTAATCTTTTCTGAGGGTTATACATTTGCCTCAAGAGGAAGAAAGATAGAAGATAGATAGATAGAAAGAGAGAGAAAAAAGATATTATAGAAGAGACTATGATGATGAAGTATATAAGAGAAGAGGCAGAAAATAAAATAATGAAAATGATAAGAATAAATAAATAAATGGAAATAGTAATGATAGTAAAAGACTAGTAGAAAAAAAAATTAGAGAAAAATAGAGAATGAGAAGAGAAAAAAAGGAGTAGAAATTGTTAAGAGAGAAAAAGAGGCAAAGTGAACACAAATAGAAGAGAAAAAAGAGAATATAAAGTGTTTAGAATTGAAATAGGAGAATAGGTTGTAATAGAATAGAATGGAAAATGTATAACCCAAAATGGAATATAAATGAATATTTCTATCAATATGAAAAGTGTATTTTCTACTTACTTTTGAGACTTCTAATGCTTTTTCAACGTCTTCTGCTTTCTTAAAACAAACAACAGCAACACGATCAGTTCCTTGACCAGTAACCTTAACCATGGTCACTTTACCATGTTTCTTATATTCGTGAAATAATCCATCCTTTAAACTTGAATCTGTGGATCGAATGGGTAAATTTCTCACACAAATAGCTAATGGACGATCATCTTTAAAGGTTGTAGACGAATCTGATCCTGGTGTAAGTAAAGAAGATGATGATTGCTGTGAACCAGAGATACTGTTTAGGTTGATATTAATATTAGAATTAATTGAATTAATAATATTATTAACATTGGAGATGTTGGAGGTGTTGGTGTTAATATTGGTGGTGTTTAAATTGGTGGTAGAGGAAGAAGATGATGATGAACAAGAGGATGGTAGAGAAGAGGCTGTTGCTGTTGGTGTTACTGATGCATTTGAAATTGAACAAGAGATCGAAGAACCTGCCGCCGTTGTGGTTGAGGAGGACGAGGTTGATGATGAAAAAGGTGGCTCATAATATTTTGTCCACAAATTTCGATCCTCCAATCTATTCTCCGAATTATGGGCTTTAGAGGCTGCTCTTATATCGATAAAAGATACGGTTGCACTTAAATTATCACATTTTCCACCCAATATTTTAACACGTTGTACTATTCCATATCTGCTAAAGTGGTCCACAATTTTTGATTCGCTGATATTTTCCGGCAAATTGCCGATCTGCAGATGACGAGTCTCACGAACCATTTACACAAAGACCAAAGGGATTGAGAAGAAGAAAAAAAAAACAAATTTTCCTTTTTTTCCCAATTAAACCAAGAAAAAAAAGAAATGGATATGAGAAAAGAGGGAGGATAAATTAAATAGAGAAAAAAATTTACTTAAATTACAATAGGTATTTTAAAAAAAACGACACAGGACATTATTATTTTTCTGTTGTCTGTCGATTGTTTCACTGTTAATTTAACACTTTTAATCAAAATTGGTTAATTTTTAATACAATTTAATAGCGAATATATTTTTGTCCACAATTTACAATTGATCTTCTTACATTAACTTGAGAACAGAAAATAAAAATGTTCCAAATGAACATAATGGTCTCTTCTCTCATTGGTCGAAATTCGTTTGCAAAGTGTGACATTTAGCCACATGTTCACTTCTTTTCCATAAAAGTGGCGACATCTGTTGTTGAGAAAACTCAACATTCTGGTCAGGCCTTTTTTCCATTTTTCTGGTTAATCTTTTTTACTCTTAATCGTCTTAACAATTGGGTTTTCAAACAATTCTCTTGTTTTCTATTGTTAATTGTTTTAACCCTCTAATCACCTTGATTTTTAATCTTTCAATTTTTTTCTACCTTTCCAAGTCCAATGAAATCTTTCAACTTTCCATGGATCAAATATTCTGGTAATTAGGTTAAAATTTTTGCTTCTCCCTCTTTCTCTGTGTTTGTTGTTGCTTCATCTCTTTATTTTTTTTTTCTGTATTTTCAAGTGTCTTTGTTTAATTTTCCCCATTGATGAGAATTATTTGTTTTTGAGTTGGATGATTAAATGTTGTGATCAAATTTTTTTTCTAAATTTTTTCTATTCTGTTATCTTTTCTCTACTTCCTTTTCCTTCTTCCTGTGCCTAAACAGATTGACGTGTTGACTTGGTTTTCGGTTTTTGGTTACCTTTCCCACCCAAACGTTTTTCTCTGTTCCTCTTTTTTTTCCTTCACAATCTCAATATCAAGAGAGTTACAATTTCCTCTCTCTCTCTCTCACACACACACACCGATTCATTTAGAAAATTCTGCTTGGTGTATGTGTGTGTCTCATCTCCTATGGCTGTGATCACCTCAAAGGATGTTATCAACCTTTACAGGTCACTTTTACGATATGGTTATAATCTAGAATTATCGGATAAAAAGTTTTACTTGAAGCGAGTTAGAAACGAGATCAGAAAGAACCGAGATTTATCAAAACCTGAAGAAATTGAATACGCTTACCAGGTATGATTTCCAATACCAACTAGCTCTTATTGTTTATATTAATCTGATTTTTCCTCTGTTTTTTTATTTCTATTCTTTCCAATTACAATTAACAACAATAACACCACCACCACATGGGAAACAATTACAAATGCACATGGACTTATCTTCATCTCTCTGTTGTTAATGTTAATATTTACCATCTCAATATGACCATTAGAAGGGATTAACTTTCTTAAAAAATGAGAGGCTTTTGTGAGAAAAAAAAACAATGTCCTACTCTCAGTAAATCTTGATGATATTTCCAAGATAAACTTGTATCTATTTTGATCCTAAATTGATTCTAATAATTAGTTTACTTCTTTAACTCAAACCATTATAACTCATCGGAAATCATCATCAACCTGTTTTTAACCTCACAATTTGCTCATGTTGAATTTACCTTCATGATTAGTGAAACATTTGTGCCTATCATTTCAACATCTAATTTCTGTATATTTAACACACCACCAATCTAATTGTAAAAGAAAAACAATCAACCATTTAAGCCCCAAATCGACCTTGATTGTTAATATTGTACCAAAATCTTGGACTAACCCAATAGAAGGTTAAAAATCAAATCATCACAATGTTCACATTAAAGGAGCTGGTTAATTGGTTTGGTGTGACAGTCTTTGAATTGATCATCATGGTTACGGCGATATTTTTTTACACAATCACCTTAACGATCAAATTGGATGGATTAATGTCAATTAGCTGGTGGATGGTACACTCGCCATTATTTCTCGCCGATGCTTATCTAGCCTATTTCTGTGTTATCGTTTTCATAAGGCAATGTTTAGATTGTCTATATCGAACTGCTTTTTTCCGAGCATTTTGGAGTTTCAATCAGATCGCGATTCTATTTGCAATCAAATTTTTCCTCTGTTTAAAATTGGAAGGAGATCGACGAATAAGCTGTTCGGAGATTTGGGCTCAATCTTTTCCATATATTATTATTGATGCTTCGAGGATGTCAAATTCATTAGGAATAGTAATTTAAATATCTTCAAATAAAAATGAAGAGACACTCATTTGGAATCCATGAGTGAATTAATCGAGATTGAATATTTATCCTGAATAAAACCCCTGGTGATTAAGCTCAATTTACTAATTATTGGGTAACAAGGAGAAATCGGAAAAGTCAATATTTATCAATCAAACATCAATTTATTGATTATATTGATAATCCTTTTGTCCTTTAAGATAAATTGTAAATCTACATACTCACAATTAGTATCAATTTAATGTCTCTCATCATAATTTGTACATTTTCATTTTCAACTAATTGTCTGTAAATTATAATTTTTTGACGACGAGATGGTCAATCAAAATAAACCTCTTTGACCAATGATAATGTATTTAATTGTAATCACTAAAATGTAATCTTCGATATTAACAATAATTGATAATCTGTACAATTAACTTAATGGAATCAGAATCCCAGTGATTAATTGAAAATCTAAATTAATCTTAATCATTTTCTTCCTTCACGATCAATTAAAGTTTAACCTCTGAAAATTTACAACAATCAGAGATGATTAATTGTTAACTATTCTGTTGACATTAAATTGGGATAAAAATTCATGTAAATGATTAATTATCACTAATGGAAAAAAACTAAATTAATAACATGAAACAAACACAGAATTTGAAATCAACAAATCAATACAAATCTTAGTATGAAAGATTATCAATCAACAGTAGCAATTAGATAAAAATTTACAATGAAAATTAAAGTTTAACCAATAAACTTTTTCAATTGTTTGAAATGATGATCATCAAGAAATTGAATTGATTTTTCAGTTTCGATTTGTTTTTTTCTCTATCAATTCAATGCGATTGATTGTACAACAATAAATAGGAAATCAATTTGTCTTTTAGTATGATAATCGTAAATTAGACAATTGTTATGGTTAAGGTGGTAATAGAAATTACTATTACGATTGATAAACTGGAATTAATAATGAGAATCACAATTACATTTGTCCCTTTTGATTGTGGATACAAAACAGATTCTGAATGTTATTCAACATGAATAATATTTTTCCAACGATAAAAGATAAAAATTGTGAAGAAGAGAACTGAACAAAATGGATTCTTTGAATTTCTCCCTGTTTTTTATTCAGTTATCATATTAGACGATTGAATTCAGACTGAAATCCATACATATAAAAGGAGAAATAGAAAGAGAGAGAGAGAGAGAGCTATTATTAACGATGGAGAATGAGGTGGAAACAGAATTGTAAAGATTTCCATGATATCGATTTTTGCCTCTCTCTCTCTCTCTCTCTCTCTCTCTCTCTCTCTCTCTGAATTGTTATTGCATGAAACTGATGATTCTGAAAAAGGGAGAGGGAAGGTGGATCGATATTGAATCATCATGCTAACCATGAATATGCTCAGAATCAACTAAATCATTATAATCATTCGCATCATAATCTTTCAGAATCAACATCATGTAAAAGTATTAACTGAATTCAATGAATCGGAATCAATTTTGTCTACCGGTTTCAATAGAAATTCAAAGTAGTCGCAGTAATTAGGATAATTGTGTTTGTTTATTTCATAGATTATTCAATGAAATTTTGGTTCTTTTCTCTCTCTCTCTCTCTCTTTTAATTTTTACCTTTACGATTTTATATTAATTCACAAATGAGTGATTGATAGTTGAGAATGAATTAAATCTACTCTCGGTGTCAAAATAATCTGTTGGAATTTTTTTATTTCCATGCTAAGATAATTGTACTCGTCTCATTGTTTCCGATTCATTTTATCATCATCATGGTTTTCTATGAGTCTTTTAATGTCATTTTAAACTCTCAAACAATTACAGAAATTAAACATTACATTCAAACAATTAACTGTTATCATATTTTGTTGACAATTCAATTCAAAAAACTTCTTTATTATTATCAATTCATTTTCTTTTCCTCATCTGAATTTTATTTCAAATCGTTTTCGGCATAAGATTAATGATTTTATCTCCTTTTCCTATTTGGTAAGAAAAAAAATTAGATCACAATACACTAACTAGTTTCACCATTTAGTCCCAAGTTTAATTATTCATTTAAATCTATTCCAGAAAGATAATAACAATTTAAAAAGAAATAATAATTACATGTTCATTTGTCATTTTTTGGTTTTCGAAACTTTTTCAAAAAAAGACCAACATTTTAGTTGAAATTCTAACCACTAGATGGCGACGTTAACATTTCGAAGGAAAAAAAGAATTGACTGTTAGCGCCATCTAAAAGTGAATCGGTGAAGCAGTGAGTTCGATTTTTTTTCTTCACACTCGAAGTACAGTTTGAACAGTTCTAAATGGAAAGTTGTTCTTGTCATGGTGAAAACAGTTAATTCATATAAATTATTGACAAAACTTTATTATCCAATTTTAACTGTGTGTCTTAATGTGGTGTTTTTCTTGCTCTTTGTTGCCAAATGCTCATCAACATTGATTATTAATTAAAGTTAAACTTTGATGATAAGAAAAAAAAAGTTGATTAACAAAACTTAATCAAGAGTATAAAAAAAAACAAGATAGAAAAACAATTTAACAACAACAAAAAAAAATCAAATTTCAACAAAAAGTTTCTCAAAAAACAGTCAAAAAAAAAGCGATTACAAAACAAATTTTAATCAATTGAAGACAATGTTAGTTAAAACTAATTGTAACCATCATATTGATTGTTACAAAATGTTTAATTACTCAATAGGATATTGGATTAGTGCAATTATTTGTTTAACAGCAACAGTTACCTGTGCCTATGAAGTAACACCATTTACAGATCAACCTTTCGGTAAGTAAAAGCCTAAATTAGTTAACTAATTACTGGAGGAAACAATTAAAAGTTAGATCGCAACAAAAATCGAGAAATATTTTTTTCCAATTTCTATTCTTGTGTCTCAACAGCATCACTTAGCTACACTGCCGTTGTCCGTGGTAAGGCCGCTTTACCGTGTCATGTGACGACATCGACACCCGATGATTCAGTAGCACTCATCTTGTGGTATAAAGATGATGCCTTAGCACCAATATATACATTGGATGCTCGAAAAGGTAAGAGTACTAAAGGTTAATCGAGACAGAAATTGACTCGAAAATAAATGACAAGTTGATAATCATCATCATCTTTAATCATCTCAGTTTGGAACACGTTTTAAAAATCATTGATGATCAATGAGAGAGAGAAAGAGAAAGAGAGTAAATCAATTTTCTATCCCATTGATAACAAACTAAGAGATTACAATCAATAGAGAAATCTATTTATTTGAGAAAAGAAAATCAATTGATAGAGAAAAGGAAAAAGGAATCAATATTTTCACAAATTGTGATTAAACTAAATCGATTGTGATCAGATTAAGATAAAACTTTCAACTAATTTCAAATCAATTTACTTTTAATCTCCCAATACAATTACGTCTGATTTTAACCCTTAACACAAAACAATCCTAATCAAATCTGTATGAGAAGCGGAATGATTGATTAACCAGATGATGAGATAAGTATCATTGATAACAATTAAGGATAATAATGATCAAGATTAAACAAAGAAATCAACTTTCAAAGTGATATAAACACCACAAGATTAATCAGATAATCAAAATCTGATGAAAAAGTGAAAAGCGGATTAGCAAAAAATCAAGCCAACAATTAAGCTAATTCAATATAATAATAATAATAATAATTTACACACTCGAGTGTGAGTATTTTAAATTTTTACAATTGGTAAACTTGTTTCTAGTTGAATTTCAAATAATAATTAATAATTAACCTTAACTTTTAATTCAGTTCACATTTTTTGTTCATGTGACAATTTTTTGATGATTAAATTATTTAATCCAATGAAGAGAGTGCATTGAATATAATTAAATATGCAAAGAGTGAGAAAGAGAGAGAGAGAGAAACAATTGAATGAGTCATCAAACTTTAACACTCACTGATTATGTGTCAAAGTGATTAGCATGATTAATAATGATAATTATAATGAAAGATGATGAAAGATGATGATGATGATGATGATGATAAGTCAGCGTGTATGTAAGCAAAGGGAGTGGGAAGTTATTAGGTATGAAAAATGTAAACAACAAATACTCAAAGGTAATACACCAAGAAAATTGTAACATGGGAAACTGGGAGGTAAACTTATTATTAACTTATAATAATAATTTTATCCTCTATGATTATGATTATTATGATTATTAAAAAACTCGAGCTAATTAATCAACAGTTTTATGTTATAATGAACCGATAATTAGAGGGAAAAATGGTGAGAAAATTAGAGAAACAAGTTAAAAAAAATTGTTTCTTCAATCAAATTAATGGATAAAATGTCAAACCAATCACTGGATTAACAAATTGATCACAAAGAAAAAAATATTATCATTATCATGATAACCTCAACCTCAAAAAGTTACCAAGGTTACTTAGCATTCAGACATTGGGAAGGATAAACAATGCTTGATGATGATGATGAGAGAGAGTGAGAGAGGGAGATACTGATGATGATAACAAAGAGATAACTTTGAATTAATTGGATTGGATTTTGATGTTAATAGGATGATTATTATGATGATAATTTAGCGAGATGAGTATATTTTCAATGGTAAAATAAAAAAAATAAGCGATTAGTTAATCACTTTCATTCAAATTTTGTTTTTTTCTTCATCTAAATTTCAAGTTGCTATTATTGTTGGTGAGAGAGCCAATTAATATAATGACGGTGGAGAAATGATAATGTAAGTCAAAGGTTATAGTTTTTCAAGTGGAGATGGAGAGAGATGATGATGAGGATGATAAGGATGATAAGACTGGTTAGATTGAAAGAGATGTCGAGATGCTGGTGGGATTTTGTGAAGAGGATTTTCAGATTATTCTGTAAGAAATTGTCAACGATTTTACAACTGAATTGAAAGATTAGTGATTTTACAATCAATATCTGATTCCTTGTGGATATTTTTGAGAGCATGAAAAAAGTCAATAGTAAATATTTATGTTGGGTAATTGTTTTCTGATAATCATTTCTGATTCACTTGGAAAACCGTTACAATTAATCAATATACTCGTTACATATACTCACTTGGTAGGAGAAGAAAATTTTTTTTGTACAAAAACAGAAAAATTAATATCATCTTTATTTCATGATTATGATGATTAAGAACAACATTAACATCAAGAATATTATCTTCTGTTGTCTGAGTCTCTCTCTCTCTCTCTCACTCATGGTATTTTTTTCTTCTCTCCCTCCCTGTGATCAGTAGAGAAGAAGGAAAAAAGTTCTGAGTCTCTTCAAGTTCTTCAAGTTCTCATCATCATCATCAGAATTTCAGAACTTTTTTTTTATCTCATTCTGTGTGAGATGAATTCTGAAAATGCATTCTTACTCTTTCAAGCTCCACTGTTTTCATTCTCATCTCATTCTGTTCATCATTATCATCATGTTCATCTTCCTTCAACCATTTTGAACCTAAATTGGTTTGAATAATGAGAACATATTTTTTCTTTCTTCTTCTCATCCTTTCTCTCTCTCTTTCTCTCTCTCTTACACTTACTTTTTCACCTTTTTTCATCTTTTTTCATCTTCTCCATCATCATTATCATCTTTCCCACCCACTTTTTCCTACAAGATATTGAAATAATGGTGAAGAAATTTGAGAAAAATACTTTGTAAATATAGTATTCATATTGACCTAAATTTGTGAGTTCATTGGAAAATGAATTTTCAATCATCATTCTCACCTTAAAGGTATCTCTTTGTAGTTAAGCTCATTTATTTTCGTAGCATCTTCATCATCCTCCCAGTCGGATAATTTTTCATTATCTTTATCCCATTTTTTTTCCTCTTCTCAAATCAAGCCTTAAGTGTTTACTTACAAGAAAGAAAACTAATCAAACAATTGGATCAAAAGTAACATGTCGAGAATTCAATTCCAATAAAAGTTTCAATCGATTCCAATTCTATTGATATAAATATCATTTTTATCATCTATCCATAGCTAGCAATTTCAAATACTCTTTCAAATCATCATCTTCATCATCATCCAGCTCTCATCGTCATTCAAACAATAACCTAAACTTAACTGTTACCTTTTAAAATTGTAATTTATTATCTCAGGTAAATTGATAAATGAGATGAATCAATTATATAATCACTATCACTTTCATCTTTACGCTTCGATTCACTGATCATTGATAATAAACTATATAAATGGGGAAAACAATTTAATCATCATGATGATCATGAATGATTATTATTAACATTACTCATATCAATATTTTGTATTATTGATGAGACAGAAAATGATAATAATAATCATGCATCAAGTAAAATGAGAAGACACCTAATATTATATATTGGATAACAATGAATGAAGCAAAAAAAACAACACAACAAAGATGTAACCAAGAAGATGAGGATGATAAAGGATGACGATGACTAAACAACCGGATATGTAATTATCATTGAAATTAGAAAGATTATCTTTTACTTTTCAAGTTTGATAATGAAGAAAATGAAAGAGAGAGAGAGAGAGAGAGAGAGAGATAAAAGAAAAGACAAAGAAAAAGATTAATGAAGTAATAATGATGAAGAAGGTAAATCAAATTGAATCCAATCATTGAGCTCATTATCATGCAAAAGATAATCATCAAATAGCATGGGAATTACATAGACAATAAATAACCTTAACCAATTGTATTTTTTATCTCCGCTGTCTCTGAATAATATTTCATGTTGGTGGATGAATTTTTTGTTTCCATGTTCACTTCGCAAAACTTTTGACTCTTTTTCATATATAAATTTATTAGTATTTGCCTTATTATATTCATGGATATTCTAGTATATATGCTACTAGTACATGTTATTCAGAAATTCTGAAATCCCTTGAATAACGGTGAACACACAACCATGAAAAGAGGAAAAGTGGATGAATCCATGTTGATTAAAATTTGTTTATCTTTTCTCTCTCTCTCTCTCTCTCTCTTGTCATCATTTGATTCAATATTGTAATCAAAAGGTTTCTCCTTTATTCCGTCTCATCCAATTGCCATTTCAAACGTGCTCTCAACTTATTTTTGTCTATTCAGTTGATGATATTTTTTTCTTCTCTGTTTTGGTTTTCATCCTGATCCTCGGGATCATGTTTTGGTTATCATTGTATCTTCATGGACTTTGATGACATGGAGACGCAAAGTCCTCATTATTTTTATCTCTGAGATTTTCGGTCAAAACTTATTTCCCAAAATATTCAAGATAAAACCCATAGAGTGTAAAGTTTATCAATTTTCACTCCCAGTGAGTTTTTCATCTTCATCTGATTTCAGTTCCTATGAATCGTTTTGTAGTCTAATATTACATGAGATAAATAACATTGGCATTATGTTGCTGTCTTCTTCTTCTCATCATCATCATCATCATGTCGTTGTTTTTGGTTTTATTTATATCAAAATTCATTTATAAACAATATTATCAAGTGTTCACCTTAGTTTAGTGATTTTTTTTTCTTCAAATCGTTTCACTTGATTCTTGGAACTTTTTATCTGATAAAATCCCATGAGAAATTTTCAGAACTTATTTCTCCTTCTATGATATTGAACAAATTTGCAGTTTTTTGGTTTGCAACAGAAAATGAAAAAAAAAGGTGAATTGGGAATGAGAAAGATGAAAAGGAAAAGGGAGGAGAAGAGGATGAGGATGAAGAAGATGAAATTGAAGATGAGTTTTTATAGATTGGTTAAGAAAACGTTATTTCAATGGTTTGCTTGATAATCAGATTTAAAGTGAATTAAAGGTAGCTTCATCTTCATCATCTTCATCTTCATCATGTTGTTTATTTTCAGTTTGAAATTCTCATGATACTCTCATGTCTTCTAATGGCCATCCAAGGAGTATCATCATCATCATCTGAACAAGAATTTTTTGCTTCTTTAGCTTCTTTTTCAGATTCTTTTCTATTTTTCCTCTGTCTCTCTCTCATCTTGTTCATCTTCATCAGACGTTTTTTTATACTTTCTGCTTACCAACAATCTTATCCTGAAATTATCTCATCATTTTATCCAGT